ACTTATCTTCAAATTGGTGTGCTTGACAGGACAACTCTAGTTCTTCACATTTACGCAGAACAGCAAAACTGAAAGTTAGTCAGAGATGTTCTGAAAAATGACATTTAACTAGAAGTATTATGGACACAGTACCCTCACTGGCTTTCTTTATGAAGGTGCAAAATGTTTTTCTCTTGTCACTATATATCTATCGTTTGGTGGGTAGTCATTAGATTCTGTCCTGGGTTGAGTGGTGGAGATTTTTGGTGGCAGAGGAGGGGGCTATCGGGGCGGCCCCCTGTGAGAAGCTTCTCGAAGCTCCCCCAGCTCCAAGGCAGCTCCACCTCTGCACCAAAACTGAGCCCATCAGCTGCACCTCTGCGATAATGTATTTAAGAAGGGAAGTGGTGAGGAGGAGTCAGACTTGTAAGGAGGAGTTGCTGCAGCTGTGCGAACACCAAGGTCAGTGGAGGAATGGAGGAAGAAAGGAGGGGGGAGGTGTGCTGGAGCAGAGACCCCCCTGTATCCTGTGGGGAGACGGCAGGGCGGCCCCCCCTGCCACCCATGGAGATCTACGGTGGAGCAGACACTGATTTATGGCCTGTGGCTTCTGCTGGGAATAATCAAGGTGCTGTGCCCAAAGAAGGCCGGGGTCTTGTGGGAAAAGGTAGCCCTGCTGCTGTAATTCAGCGCTGGGAGGATTGCAGCATGCGGGGGTGTCCCACACAGGAGCAGGTCAGGAAGGGCTGCAGCCGTGGGAGGGAATCCAGTCGGAGAAAGTTGGCGACCCATGATGGAGCAGTGTGGGGAATGCTGCGGCCTGTGGGAGGGACTCACGTCGGAGAAAGTTTGTGGAGGACTGTCTCCTGTGAGAGGGGGACCACGATGGAGCAGGGGGAACAATTTCCAGAAGCTCCCCCCACTGAAGATAAAGAAAGTGGCAGCACTGACTGCACCCCCCCATTCCCTGCCCCTTTGCCACTGGGGGAGGAGGTAGAGATATCGGGAGCAGAGCTGAGCCCGGGAAGAAGGGAGGGGTGGGGGGAAGGTGTTCTCAAGATATGGCAATGCTTCTCACTGTCCTACTCTGTTATGTGTTGTTAGTGTCTGTAATAAATGTATGTTCTTTTTTTTCTTCCCCTAACGAGTCTGCCTTTTGCTCGTGACCATAAAGGGGGATTTTTTCCCCATCCCAGTCCTATCTTGAACCCCAAGCCTGGCTCTCTATCCCTTCTTATTGCCGGAGGGGAAGGGAGAGAGAGAGCTGCTGTGTGGTGGTTGGCTGCCAACCAGGCCCAAACCACGACAGATTCATATGAATGTGATTCATATAAACAAGAAAGCTCTATATGTATTATGTATTATTTCTTTTAAGACTTATTTATGAAGGACAGATATGAACATTCCTGGTCAAAAGTAAAACTCTTGTATAAAAATTTATGTTAATTTTAAATAGATATCAAAAGCAGAACCATGGTGAGTTTCCAGGTTCGTTACAGTGCTGTGTATTTACTGATCTATCTTTTTTAAACTGCACCGCTCCCCTTAAATATAGCAAGCTTTATGGTGAATAAATCCATGTTAGAACATGCATGGAATACTTATTTCTGGCCATATATTACTTATTCTCTATGACATTATTTGTCAAGTTATAAACCAAGTTTCAAACTCTTTTACCATTTACACAGTGAAAAATATGTTGCAACTATTATTTCATTAGGCACATGTACAGATTAAATTAAATTAAAATTGGAAATATAAAAATTGCTATTTTCTGTGTGATGATAATGTCTTATTTTCTAGTTTTACAAACAATCCATCAAAAACAAATTCCAGAAGTTTAGGAAGGTAGTTCTGGAAATCCAGTATAGAACTAAAAAAATTACATAGACAGTGTTACTAGGAAAATGAGTGTTACAGTAACTTACTCTGCTCTAGGCAGTGTCATGAATCCATCATGGCACACAGTGAAAGAAAACATATCAAGAATTCTGGAATACCTTTCTTTACCACAAGACACCCACACTAAATGATAATAGCACAACATTCAATAAAATAGAAAATAAACCTAATGGAAACAGACTTGCACAAAAAGTTTTCTAACTCTACCCTCTATACCACACACCTAAAATCAATGTTTTTAATCCCCCTATTTTTCCAGTGGAAAGTCACACTATTGCATAAGGCTAATAAATTTTAGTGCAGTGAACATAAAGCCGTGACACAGAGAAAATACCTATGGAGCACCAAGCACAGTCTTCCTCACATCTTTCAAGAGCATCACTGAAATTACTGCTAAGGAAGTCTAGGAAACAATGTATTTTGGTGGTGTCCTCCGTGCAGAGCAGGGACTGGTCACCCAGGTAAATTATGATGCCAGTATATAAATATTTGTGACATGAGTGCCTGCAGTATTGCAGAACAGGAGGAAGATATGTCGTTGGTGTCTTTCTCTTCATTCTGGTCTATTACAGCTACTTGTTCTTTCCATATTATAGTCGAACTTTCCATTTTATAATTAAGGTTAAAACAAACAGCTACAGAATTGAACTCATAAATCTTTTCCCCCAAATTCTGTCCAAAACATACCTGTAGTTAATGGATACACTTCTATCAACAGCTGTCGAAACCTAAGCTGACAGCTTGATTTCAAAATCTTTTTTGTAACACCTGTGCGAGCATGGAAGTTGGAAAACTGTAACTCTTAAGATTTATGTAAAGCCAGCAGAGCAACACACACATATAGGGTGAAAGTTGAAGATGTACAGATTTAACAGAAGCCCATTGAAGCTAAATGACAGTAAGTTTTGTAAGGGACAGAGTAACTGAAGTAATCACAAAAGCAATAATTGGTCTGGCCCAGACAGTTCTCTTCTCAACTGGCCCTCCTTGTTTTTTCTTTTTGCCCATTTCCCTTTTCATGTTCCTAATCAGGTTCAAATGAGGTGTATCTTCATCTTTGTGAGCCTGACCTACCTCAGATGGATTAGCAGCACCGTGACATGTCTCCCCTGTTTTAGGAACACGCTGTTGTGTTTTAGGAATGAAAGCAACTCTGCCTTGTTCCTGAGCAGACTTTGCCTGAACTGCAAACCTCCTTTGTGTTGCATGTAGCTAGAAATTACTTATAAATTACTTACTTTGTAAGTCTTTTGCTCTTTTCATCCCCAAGTCTTTCTTTCCTGGTCCTTTTGAATTTACAGGAATACTCCCGTTCATTTGGAGTCATCATTTTACATGTTCCTTCTTAGCCACTTCACGGAGATCTGTTTTGCCACCTCTTCCATTCACACATTCTCTGAAGACATAAATAAAATTATTCAGCACTTTGTACCACACAACAAAATGTTCCTCAACCTTCCCTTTTGCACATCAGCTATTTGTCACATAAATTCTCCTAATTTGGATCCACCAGATCTCAAGCCTCTCTCTGTTTTGGCCAATCACTGTTGTGGGGGTTTTTTTTTGCACCCCCCACCCCACCCCCCCCCAAGAATCTATAGACAAACTAGCATGTTTCCCTCGGGTTTTCCCAGTTCTTACTGAGCAGCAGAAAGAAGTCCTTTCTGTGCTATATCCTCATGAGGGAACTTCAGCCAAGTGTGTGTCTTCTCAATTAAATTGCGCTAATGTATATCTTTCTGTTCACTACATACCTCAGGTCTAAACATTGCTAAAATACCACATCCACTTTCCAAACTATCCATTCAGGAAGGGCACTGATAAATTAAGAGAAATATTATTTTATTTTTTTTTACAAACCACAAGAATAGCTAAAGGATTAGGAAAAAATGTAGAGACTGAGTTCAGTCTACGTGTATCACACAGAGGATATTAGAAGATAACGTGTCTGCGAGGCTCTTAATCCTCAGCTGTCATTAATGGTGGTGGCAGGAAGTTTAGAGCTCAGAGATGCAGCGATCTCTACAATGCTGTGGACAAAAATCTTCTTTGGTAATGGCAGGTACTAGGTGAATACCTGGTGAGGAGAGAATATCACTGAGTCACTGGGAGAGGTGATCTACTCTTGGGAAGTAGCAAATGAGGAAAACTGCTGCCGCTGTTTCATTTCTGCGTAGTGTGAGCGGTGCTACGGGCAGGCCTGTCTCCCCGCTCGCTCAGGGTTGGAGGAACAGTGGAAGCCCATAGCTGCTGCTAAACTCTTCCTGAGTCGGAGCAAACTTTTGCTTCTGTCCCAGATGCTAACACTTAGTCCACTTTGGTATCAATAAATAAAGGCCAGACTTAGGCTTTAAGGAATGGTTCGATCAAAGTCTAGATCCCAATGGAGAAACATGGGAGTAATGTAAAGGACCCTCATAAGACAAGCTGGCAGTGTGACAAAATCCAGAGGTAGTAAGTGCTGCTGTTTCCTCTACTGAGGAAAAAAAAGAGTGCAAATGTTTTAACAATAGAGCTTATCAGCTTTTGGTGCAACTGTCAGAAAATTCTTTACCACAAGATACTTTCAAGTCAAGATAGACTGAATTCAAACAAGAACTAATTTTTGTATCATACAGGAAGGCACCTCAGACCCTTACATCGATCTTTTCTTATGTTTTCTGGTCAATTTACCAGGCTAGGGAAGTTGACTGTCCAAAATTACTGTTAATTGACGGTGCAATCATTCCATTCAAGGGCAGGGCTGCTGTTCAGAGCGACCAGAACAAGCCAAAAGAATGGAGCTGACAGGAATCTTATTCAACCCAAGGAAAAAACACAAAGCCCTGCGCCTGCCAACGGGCTAAACAATGCACAGGGATAGAGAGGCTGCCTGCCGGGGGGGATAACAGTCCCTCGGGGCCTTGACTAAAAACGAACCTGCAAAAGGCCGGTGGCTAAAAGCAACACTCATAACACGGCGCCGTGAATAACCGCACCCCGTGACGGCCGCCCCGATACGCGTAACGGCTCCCCAGACTCCGGGCCCCCTGAGGGGGCGCGCGCCCAACGGCCCCCGCCCAACGGCCGCGCCGCGCGCGCAGGCCCCGCCCCCGCGCTCCCTTCCCGGGGCGGGCGGGTGGAACATGGCGGCCGGCCGCTGGGGCGGGCGGCGGCTTCTCGGCGCCGCGGCCGCTCTGCTGCTGCTGGTGCTGGCGGCTTCCGCCTCCTCCTCTTCCTCCTCTTCCTCCCGGGCGGGCAGCCCCGGCGGGCCGCGGAGCCGCGTGCAAGTGCTGGGAGGCTCCAACTGGAGCCTGTTGTTGGAGGGCCAGTGGATGTTGGAGTTGTGAGTAACGGCCGCTCCCTCCTTCCCCCCCCCCCCCCCCCCCCGCCTCAGGGGCAGCGCGCCGGGGGACAGGGGTGGGGGCTTCCCTCTGGGGAGGGCGGGTGGCGGGCGGCCGGCGGCTCCCGCCTCGCCTCGGCGCCTGCCCCGGGGAGCGGGCACGGCCGGTAACGCCTGCCCCGGTGCGGGGAGAGAGCGGCCTTCCCACGCCGCGGAGGGAAGCGCGGGCGCCGCCGCGCACCTTCCGCGGCCCTGCAGTCCGTGGCCCGGCGGGGGTGGGGCGTCCGCCCAGGGACGCCTAATGCAGCTGATCCCCTCTCGCACCGAGGGTTGTCGGCCCTGAGCCTGCAGGCACACGCTCACCCGGCATTGAGAGCTGACAAAAACGGCTTTCCCCTGCAGGTTCTCGTCCTGCGCGGGCACAGAGCCCCCGCGTGCCCCAAGGTTAGAGTGGGCATGTTTCGGTGAGTCTTTCAGCGGTGTCGCTCAAGACAACGACTTGCGGAGGGGTGGTGTCGGGCACTGTGCCTTGCACTGCTTACCCGCTTGGGACTTTCCTTGGAGTCTTTGCAAGCTAGGGAGGCTGAATTTGGTAGCTAATATTTTCGCAGGAGTAGGTTTCCAAAGTGGTAAGTGTTACATAATATCCGGGTACGCCCTCACTTGCATCCGCCTTGCTCTGGAGATCGTGTTGTTCGAGTGGGGTGCATCAGATTTCATTAACTTAAGTCCTGCTTTTGCTCTATCCTGGTGACAGCTAGAGAGGTTTGCCTGTTGCCAGCTGGGGTTTTAAGTGCTTCTAACTAACTGCAGTGGTGTCATGGCTTTTGCCTGTGACATGATACTGCTCTTGAAATGCACGTGATGTTTTGTTCTTGGGGGCTAGCTCACCTGCTCGTGCTTAGAAGGGGGAAAAGGAATGGTTTTCTTATGACAGCAGTTAAAAAAAAAAAAAAAGTAGTTGAAGTAGGTTGTGTGCTCACATGGTATCTGTGCTGTTCAGCTATGAAATAAGATTTTATTGCGGCACGTGTATCTACTCCTCTGTGGAAGTGCTTGACTTTGCACAGTTTGACACAGACTGCGTAGCCTGTGGAACAGACTAGGATGCCCATCAACATGCTCCCTCATAAGTACTTACCCAGCTGCTTTAAGTTTTGTTCTGATATTGAATATGAGTTATCTCCAGTCTCTATTGAATATGAGTTATATCTATTGAATATGAGTTATATCCAGTGCTGAGGGGTGGGACTATCAGTCCCCTTAGGGCTTTGCTGCTCTGGATGCTACTGGGCATCTGGTGTTAATCAGTGGGGAACAATCCCGAAGTAGCTGATTGAGAGACCCAGGGATGCCCCTTGCTGTGGCTTAGGGTTTGTTTTTTGAGTCTTTTATTTTTTTCCCTTGTAATTTATTGTGTTCTAAAAGATGGGGGAAGAGATGATCTTGGAGTAGGAGAAAATAATTTTCTTTTCTAAATTGAAGTTTTTCCACTTCTGACATTCTAGTCCTTATGTGGAAGCTATTGTATGAAAGTTAGTAATTCATTCAAGAGTTGGTGAATCTTAAGGAGTAAAAAGGTTAATTATGGTGACTCAAAGTTTTTACTTCATAGAGAAAAATATATAAATTAATGGTGCATGCCCCTGAAGAAGAAAGAAGAGAGGAACTGACTGAAATCAGAAGTGGATGAAATAGCGAACAGTTAAAATCCATTGCGAGTCTTTACTCGTCTTGAAACATTGCACTGGTTTGGAGTGACAGGTAGCTGCCAATAGCAGTGGTGGCAAAGTTAGCTTTAGTGCTAACTGCATATGCTGCATTGCTTAAATTAGACTTATTTTTATTTTACGTACAGTGTTTGATGTGTGAAAGATCCTTGGTTCTTTGTCTTACTTTCTGTGGCACATTTCTAGTGCTTCCTGCTTTTCTCCTAACTGAGAAGAAACCTTTGTTTTTCTCAAGGATGCTAACTCAATGCAACTGGTCTTGAATTAGTGAGAGTTTGAGATTCCCAGTCATGTCTAGACAGGAGTTTGAGATCTAGTATTGATTTCTTATGATTCTTGCAGCTACTTTTATGCTGATGGATTTTGACTTCTGATTTGTACCTGGTTTAGAACTGGTGATCCGGACAGGAGTCCTGCGTGTCAGTCAGTTCATTGATTCCATCCATGCTGTTGGCAAGAATGCAGTATGGTTCATCAAAACCTCATTTGTTTCAATAACCTCCTATTTGTTTATAAAACCTTTGTTTTCCAGGTGGTACTTTTTTTTTTTTTTTTAATGCAAATGTTGTTATAAGGTCTCTATCAAAAAAATATTTATTCTGGTCACATCCTCTAGATTGCTGGCTTGAAGCCTGCTGCCCTGGGAGGATCATGTACTACTACTGTTTAAAGTCAGTTTTTCTATTTGTGAAAGTAGTGTAGGTGAATTAGTGTATGCTACTGTTTTTGTTGTTTTCAGGTGCACAAATAGAGAAACTTAAGTTAGAAATTACTCGTGTGTGGGATTTGTAGTGGAAATAGGATTTTTCTTCCTTCATCCTTCCTAGCTGAAGTGTGTGTACTTGGCTGACTGTAAATATTTGGTTATTCATAGTTGGCAAAATTGCGGGCACTGGGAGCACTGCTGCATTTCATTGATAAAAAGTGTTCTGGATAACTTTATGTGTCTGAAAGACATTGCAACACTTTTTGCTCGCTGTTACTATCACAGCACACAGATCCTTGCTGAAGTGCTGCGAGTGTGATGCTGGAACAAGCTGTTTTAAAAGGTTTCCGTATTGACTTATTTCTAGTCTGTAGCTTCAAGATAATTATTTGTTAATATGAAGAGTTTTCTTTTTGTGTTTATTTTTAACATTGTGTCTGTTAGGAATATAGAAAAATAATTTCTGGTCTGTTTGCATAAAAGTGCATTTTGCGTTTGTAAGCATAGCTTGTTCCAAGCTTGATTGATCAGAATTTAACATTTAACCTCTTCTTACTGAGGTAGAGTAAAACAAACAAAAAACCCCACCAGCAATAAATTTTTCTTTATGCCTCTGATTACAAATGAAAATATTTAATATGCTCCTGTTGCACCTGCAGTACTTTAGGTACTTGCCCATGGGAAAATCTCTAGTTTAGTTCCCACACAGGGTGTTAAATAGTTTGGTTCCCATTTGTTTCAGCACAGGCTTAGTGCTGTGTGTACCCAAAAAAGTGTTAAAATTTTCTATTTTAATGCTAGCCAGGTGAAAATCAAGAGAACAGCGCAAGTAATTAGTCATGTTTTCAAGGCTAGTTTATCATACCTAGAGTATAGGCCCATACTTTTATTTTTGCATCATTTATTGTTAAATGTTGTGCTGCTGGCTAGTAGGCCAGATCATCATGAGGGTTCAGTCCTCCCACTAGCACTTTTGTCTGGTGTTTCAAGGGAATGCGCTAAAAATCAAGCTGAATGTTTTGGTATTTATATAGCTTAATGCTTTTAAACAGTTGCCTTGAAACAATTGCTGCAACTTATATTGAGAGTTCAATAGGGTTTGGAATTATCTGTCACTTCTGAGAGTATAGTCTCTAACTTGTTCTTGGTTTGTTAGTATCCAGGCTTTTCTTTGTCCTGTTCTTCAGAAACAACCCACACAAACAGGGGGAAATGAAAATCAAGTTACCAAAACTCTTAGTTCTGATGCTTCTGCAGTCCTCCTCACTGAGTTCAGAGGAAGTGTCCATATTATCTATGGACTCCTATTTAATAACTGAGCATGCATCTGATTACTGTGCTGTGCATTGGCTGAACAGAAACTGAGAAAGTGTGAAACTGCAATATCCTTGCTAGCAGATGTTTTACTATTATAGAAAGGGACAAAACCATGTAGAAGAATGGATTTTAATGTGCTGAAGTTCTGTAAGATTTCACATAATTTTTCAGTGATTGATTTGCTTTCTATTTTAAAAATAATTTCTCAATCTTTAAAAAAAAAATGCTCGTGAATGGAAAGTTTTGGGGGTCTTTTTTTAATTGCAGATGGTACTCTTGTCCTTTTCTTGGTTTTGAAACTAGAGAGCTGAATAATTACAGTATACCATGCTTTGCTTCTCATCTTGCTCTTGGAAGTTTAAAATGCATTTCATTACTGAGCTGTAGAACAAGTTGAAAGTAGCACTTGAAATGTTATCTTGGAGAGTACAGTTTGTTTGACTTGTAGTACCTCATGCCACAGTGGTATGCAGTTACTTCTCTCTTTGTTTGGGTATTACTGGAAAAGAGATGCATGTCAGGTTACTGAAGTAAATACAGCAGAAGGGGAATTTATAAGGTTGAGCTTGTACCCTGAACCAAATTCTGCTAAGCAGTGTCTCTGTGTATTGGCACTTCAGCAGGTCCGTCTGTGATGGAAGGCATTTGAGTGAAGCTTGGCAGGAGAATCCAGGGAAGAAACTTCCTTTGTTTGCTCTTTGAGGTAGCTAGTGCCTTGGCAATTTGTTTAAAAAAAAAACAAACAAACAAACAAAAAAAAACAAAAAAAAAAAAAAACAAAACAAAAAAAAAAAAACAAAAAAAACAAAAAAAAAAAAAAAAAAAAAAAAAAACAAAAAAACCCCAAAAAAGCAACCAACCAACCAAACAACAAAACTTGTTTAACTTTTATGGAGCAACTGGTTTTGTGTTGGGAGGTCTTGCCTGTCTCTTTTGGAGGGGGTTTGCCACACTGGAGGAAACTTCTTGTCAGCCTCCAGAGCATGTACTGTTGTGATCTAAGTCTTGATAGATTACAGGGACTAACTTATTTATCTTTGGCTACCACCTGGTCACTTGAAAAGTAGACTAAAACCATATAGTTGACTTTCTGAAGCTTATCTTTTGTTGAAATTACAAAGCTGCCTATCCTGCCTCAAGACCTGTCTGAATTCAGGAATGAGAGTGAATCAGCTGATAGTCTAAAGGCAACACCCACAGACATCAGGCACTGTCTTTTGTGTTCTGTTTTGGGTTTGTTTGTTTTTCTTTCTATGTTTATGAAATCTACAGCAATAAGGCAAAACTACTTAAAAGAGGAAAAGTAACAATTATTTCATTCTGATATTGTTTTTACTGTTCTGTTAGGTACTGCTTCAACATTTACACCACCAATTTTAATAGTACTCCCAATCTGAAATCCAGTGAATAGCTTGGTTAACTGTAATCAGTACCTCTTATGAAAGTTGTGTGTCTTGAATTGTGAAAAACTAAACAGGGAAACTTTCATCTCTCCTATTTTTTTCTCTTCAGCAAATCCTCTCATGCCTTTTTATCCGAAGCTGGTTTTCCTTTGTTCCTAGATCCTTGCAACTTTGTGAAATTGCCATCAGAGCAAGGTGTAAAATGGTATTCAAGGTTACATCTGTTCAACGATGGTAGTTACTGATAATGGTAGTGAAAAAAACAGATAGAAGGAGGCTCTTCAATTAATTGAAAATGAGTGAATTGGTGAATTCCCTAGCCAAGCAGTTGAAAGAGATTAGTGGCTGGGAGTTGGAAACTGTGTATCAGGAAATCTTAGTAAAGCTATTCTGTGCTTACTGCTCAACTCTGTAGTGATATAACTGAAAGGCATGTTTGCTCAGACTGGTTTGAATTTAAGTGTTGTTTTTTTTTTTTTTTTTTTTTTTTTTTTTTTTTTTTATTGCAGCCATCAGTAAAGTTGCTGGTATTTGAAAGCCAAAGCTTGGTCTTTTATGCTTCAGAACAGAGGTGGACATAGACTTTGCTTTTGACTTTAAGAGTTTAAAATTTTGCTTTTGGATTGTTTTATTTATGCCATCTGAAAAAGCTTCAGGCACTGTAATGGATTGGAGTAGGAACTGCAAAACACCTGTCTACTTAGAAATAGTGATTTTTAATCCACTTAAGTCAATTGTTTTTGCAGTGGAACTGACCAGTAGATAAATGTTGGTAGCCTTATTTGTGGATGGTAGACAGCTCATGAGATATTTAAATTGTAAAACTTTGTGCTATGTAAGGGGTCTGGTAATGCCACAAATGAGGTGTATTTTGAGAGATTCATGTTATCTGCTTGTGGTGAATAACTTGGCAATGTGTAATTTATGGGTATCTAGTGTTTTCAATGTCATTTTTAAATGTTGGAGATCAGTAAATTGCTCTTTAATGTGTAACAGGGTACTGAAAACTTTCTTTCTTTAGCCAGCTGCTCAGGTCTTGATTTAAATTCCAGTGGACTTTGAGTTTTAAATTGGAAAGACTTGAGTCTTCTTTTCTTGGTACACTTGTAGGGCATAGGGTACAGTGCAAACAAGTTAACAGCTAAAGGTACCCCCTTGTGCAAAGGGAGAAGCTAGAGGAGCACCAGCCCTACATTTGGTAGTGTTGATGAGTTGCTAATTATTTCCTGCTCTGTGGAGTATGGCAGAAGTTTGGTTACATCTGCTTTTGTAAGTGACTTGGTCTTGGATATTGTGACTTGATGAAAAGTAATGAAAACTGGGTTCACAGCACACACATGGATCTGCTTTCCCCGGTTCAACAGATTCTATCTATCTATCTATCTATCTATCTATCTATCTATCTATCTATCTATCTATCTATCTATCTATCTATCTATCTATCTATCTATCTATCTATCTATCTATCTATCTATCTATCTATCGTGGGGAATATAGGAACGGTAGTTGGACTGTGACTTTTGTAGAAATACAAATCAGCCTCAGTTCTCAAGGAGTCATTAGAAGCCTGCATTGAAATCAAGTTCCTCCTTAAGCTTCTTCAGGATGCAGAAAGCTTTTTGAAACTTCTGATAAAAGTGACATAAGTGTAAAGTATTTCACTCTTCTGTGTTTTACTGAAAGCGAAAGTATAAGTGGAGGTATTTTAAGACTGAGAGGGAGGCACAATAAGGCTTTGGCAACAGAATTTTTTTGTGATTTCTGGGAGGCACTTCTGAATTCCTTAGTGCTTCAAATGCTGCATAACCAATACAGACATTAAAGCTTCAGAAAGATGAGGTTGTTGAAATAAACAGCAGTGATAATTCTTGAAAAACTCCGATGTCTATTGGAAGTTCTTTCTTGTATATATGGGGACAGGGCATTTCCTGGCTGGCAAAAATTAAATGTGTAATTTCAGGAATGTAAAGTAAATATTTTAAGCCTGATTGTGCCAATGTTCAGCTTGAGTGGCTGGATCTTGTAACATCATATGTGACTGTTGCCAGCCCACATGCAATATTGGTAATAAGAACTTGGAAACCAACTATTAAATGTTTTTGTGAAGTTCATTGTTATGTTCTGTCACTGCCACACATGGATTTTAATGCTGCTTTAGGCTAAAGAAAATGTTTATAATAATATTCATATTAGCCATGTGTGCTGAATATTCCACTTAATTTCATTTAGAAGAAAGGCTCATGAATGTGAAATGTAAACATAAATGTTGCTGTGGGCCAAATTTCTATTTCAAGATCAGATAGTACCTTAAACAGGCTAAAGGGTATATTAATCTTGAAAATCTCATGGCATGAGTTTGACACATGTAGAGAAGTTGGATTTAGAAAATATTCCGACTTCTGTCTTTAGAACAACATCAACAGCATTATCTGGTGGATGTGTGCAGTTTCTTACCTACTTGTCAAGCTACTGTAATAAAAGAATACTCAAGTACAGTATCTATCAAACTATTATTAAATGTCCTCTATAGACCAGCATGATGGGAAACAGATCTGCATGCAAGACTTGTTTCCAGCATCTTTTTAAAAGATACTGAGGGTCTGTTTCTTGGCAGGGTAAGATTTATGTATCGCTTTCAGATACTCTCATGTGAAGTGATGTTGATTGAAAAAAACCCCAGAATTAGCTTTCATACTTAAAATCATAAATACCTATTACAGTAAAATATAATGCATATTTTTAAATTGTATCCTTTTACCTTCCAAATGACAAGATTTTCTTTCTTAAATACTTAGGTTTCAAAACTGCCATAAAGCTCTCAGCGTAAATTTGATTCTGTCTCTTCGGTGAGAAATTAGCTGGTTTAGGTTCAGTTTATTGACATGAAACATCTGTGGATGGCTGGGGAGATCTGTCTGCAGCCACTAAAAAGGAAGGATTCCTGATCAGAAGACAGGCAGAGAGTAGGAAGTACCACTTTTAGGTCAGATGGTAGTTCTAGCAGACAAATGGAAGGAGTAAGGGGGTTCCTTGTAGAGGTTCCCAGTTAGAGTGTAGTGGTGATGTGGGCTGTTAAGGATGTTTGTCTTTGGCCACAATGAAATTTGTTTCTATTGTTAACAATGGATGAGGAGCGTGGTAGCGTATATGAAGGACTGTGAGAATCTAGACTTACTACTTTTGCTATCAGAAACCTGCATCTATACATTTCTGCTTGCACTCACCCCCCTAATAAATTAGGTTAAACCATGTCAAGGTCTGTTTTCACTTGTGAAAGGATAAGGCTGTGTATGGGCAAGTGCCACGGCTCAATTACATGCTGTACCTAGCTGTTCTGTGGTATATGAAAGACCATTGCAACGTGCACAAATTTGACACAGACTTCGTCAACCAAGTTAGGGTACAATACATAAAGATAGCAAATAAGATTTTATCAGCATTTAAGTGTTATTTTGTATTATCCTAATATTAGCTGTTCTGTTTCCATGTTGATATTATCAATAGCAACAGCAAACTTGGCTTGATGCTTGATTATTCTATTTGGTAGTATAGAAAACTCAGCTCTTGAGCCATGCTCTCTTATTTTTCTGAAATTAATTCTGAGAAAAAACAAGGCTTGAGAAGCACAGGCAGTATGAGCAGTAGGAGTTTGATGTGCACTCTCTTAAAATCTCTAAAGAGTGCTATCAAAAAGAGCATGCTTTGATGTATTGAGTAGTGGGCTAAGGCATATATAATTTCAGGAAGTTCTGAGGTGTGGAAAATCAATACAAAAATGTTACATTGAAGGATACTGCTTCAGTGGACAGCCTGACTTAAGTAATTCAGATAGCTACCATGGAAATTTCTTCATTTCATGTGTAAATAGAATAAATCATGAGTGGTGTGGGGTTTGGATATTAATTTCTCAAATCTGTGGAGATTTGTTTTGTTTTAATAACATCAAGAGGAATGCAGGGATTGATACAAAACTACTTGATTATCTTATTTAGTAGACTTGATTAAGGAAAACTGTATGAGTTTTTTCCTGGGTGATTGATATGCTTGTATTTTCTCTGCATGGTAAATCAATATGAATGTCTATAAATGTAAGAATATTAAAATATTTAACCTGTCTTCCTCCTTTAGCTATGCTCCTTGGTGTCCTGCTTGTCAACAAATTGAATTGACGTGGGAGAATTTTGCAAAGGAAAGTGAAAATCTAGATATCACTGTGGGAAAGGTGGATGTCACTCAAGAACCAGGTATAGTATGAAATAGACAGTTTTAATAAAAGGAATTATTCAACTTAAGTACCACTTAGTATCTGGGAGTGTGTGTTATTCTATTGGAGTACCTGGGATACCAGCCAAGTCAGAAAACAGGTTTCTAAATCAAAATAATGTTATCCACATTTTGTTTCTCCATATAGCTCATATCTGTGAGCCTGTTTATAAACTCAAATTGAAGGATTAAAGAATTGGCGGAGTGATCTGTCTTAATACTGTGCTGAAAGGGGCTTATTCTCTATTTTAACCTACTTTACTGAAAACTGTTGCTTGTCCCACTCCTCTGTTCTCCACACTGCAGAAGAATCCAGTTCTGTAGCCTCCAGTTACTGAGAGTTTCAGGGTGTGGTAGCATTACCACAGTGTGAGCTTGATTTAATAAGTTCTTAACTGTTTCCGTGATGATGCTGGTTTATTGACATGTTTAATTGTAGTAGTGCTTTGAAGTATAGATGTTGTTGTTTTCCTGTGGTGATGCTCATATGCAAATGTGTTAACAAGAAAGGTTTCCTAACTATCCACAGAAGCATGGATACAATCTTATTTGTTTCTTTAGTGACTCCCTTCAAAGTTTTGAATTTGTGTAAGCAGTACCAATATTGCTTAAATCTCTGCATCTCAAAGGAATGCTTTATGCTTGTTTTGGCTTTGCGGGTATGAACGGTTTGATCAGCAGTATCAAAAGACTGACAGAATTGGGAGGAGATGTTACTAGAATAAAAAAGCTAAGCTTTACTGATTTTTTTGCCTCATAAAGTGCATGGAAAATGTGTCCGTTTTGTTAGCTGAAAACATGCCAAACAAGTTTGCTTTATTTAAGTAACTTCCCTGCTGTTAATTTAACTCTGATCTCAGATACAGCAATTTAAGTTCACAAGAAAATGCCAGCTGTTCTAGACCTTCTATAGGTTAATGTTTTATTAAAAGCTTCAAGTATACAAAAACTCTTATGCCAACAAGCTGATGTGGGGCTCTCCTTTAGTGCTCATCGTTAACAGTTTATTAAACAGATGAGTTTGAATATTAAGACTTTTTTAATCGGTGTAAACTTAAAGCCAACTTCTTCACACATCAACAAAGTAATGGTTACTCTGGAGGTAAGGGAGAAAGCCATTATAATTCTATCCTGTTATTTTTTCCTGATTAGACAGGAATTTTTCTGATTGCTGAGTGATGCCAGATTCTTAAGACCTTAGATATGACTTTTAACCCGAAGTTCCTTAAATATTTGAATTTCTAATGTTGGTGAGAGTCATGACCCCTGAGGATGTTTGACTTCTGCAAGTCAAAGGACTAACCCAAAATGATGAATTTGTACCAAGGCATGTGTAATATACCTACAACATGCAGTTCAGCACAAAACATGGAAACTGTAGCCACTTCTAAAACTAATCAATACTCTAACTGGAAAACAAAGATTTATTACATATTTGACTTTTGGTGCTGATGTGATTTTTTGAAGGTATAAAGCTCCTTCGGAAGCTTTCCAAAGTTATTAAGGTTATTTTACTGTAGTCTTATGCTTCAGCCTTTCAGTTGGTGTGCTTAAATGCTCTATGTCCTGTTCTTGCTTGCACAATGGTACCTTAATTACCTTTGGTTATGTAACCCCTTCATCAAGTTGAAAGTAGTCAAAATGTGTTAAATTAGGGGAAAACCACTAGATGAGTGCAGAGTTGCATAAAATTGCACTTCCAAAACCTGCAGGAGAAAGTAGCCATTCATGATGCTTAATTACAGCAGATGCCCAAAGGATAAATCCACCAGAGCCTTAACAGATTTACATCATATATCAGTCACTTGATGTACATGTCTTAAAGTACTTATTATTTCCTCATCTTTTATAGCAAAACATTCAGAATTTCCAGTAGTGGAATTGCTTCTGGATCTCAAAATTCTGTATATTTGTGGTGCCTTTAAGTTTCCAGTCACAACATTTAGCTGTGATTTAAAATAAGACTTCTTCTATCTTCTGTAATGTTCTTGGAGTAGTTGTTTGATGAAAGCAGCTGTATTTTTACATGGCATCTATATTCTCTCTGTATTTTTAGGGGGGGGGGGGGGGGGAGAGGGGTTGTGTGTGTGCAAATACTGAAATTTTTTCCTGTTGTTGATTAGCTGTTGACTTCATAATAGGGGTATGTCAGTTTATTATTTGCTAAGACAGATGCTTAACTGTGTTTCAAGTTGAACTACTAGCCAGTCTAAGTTTGTATTAAACAGGCACCAAAACAATTTACTGTCTGTTCTTAGCTTTTTGTAGCTGGCTCACATCTGGTTTTCCTGATCCAAGAAGGTGCCTTAGATGAGCAATGAACCTCCAGCTAAAGTTTTGGGGATGCTTAGATGCATTTTGGCAACAGATTTTATATTTTACAGATTTCATTTTTCATTCTGAGACCATTGGTACTTGCTCTACCATAGACTACTGGCAAGAGAGATTTAAGCTAGCTATTTTGTTTTCTGTTTGCCTGACTAGCATTTGTAAGAACTTCAGTCTTTCAGTGTTCCCATGACTTTTTCTGCTCTTAAGCTTATTATGTTCTTTATGGCTCTCCACCTAATTTTTCTGGTGCTGCTGTTCTTTCTGCTTGATTAATTCCACTGTGGTTTTGTTTACTTTATATCTCCTGTGGTGGCACAGCTTTTAGCTGTATTATAAAGATTTCTACCACCCTGTCTCTCATTGTAATAAAGGCAAAAAGCTGAAAAGCTGAAGTAAAGACGACTTCCTTTTTGGAACTTTAGAGATGCTTAAGCTTGATTTGATTTAAACATCTTCAAAAAACCCCCAAACAACAACAAACACACAACCCTTTTTGCATATTCCATAGGGAAATTCACATTAAGAAAAGCATTACTACTGAAACTTTCAAAAATACCTGGCTTATTTCAGTGTGGCACATCTCTGTCTCCAAAGACAGAAACTCTCATGCTATACTTTCCCATGGCTAGCTTCCTGATGCAGAAAGCTGTTTACTTTATTGAAGGCTGAATAAAGACTTAGTTCCCCAAAAGATTATCACCGAACTTTATAAAAGGAAAAATTGAATAACTGTTTTGTATTCTTCACATTGATACTTTATATGAATGGCAATTGCTAGCTAGAGGAATGTAGCCTTTACTAATGGAGTTAGACTGCATATCTAGGGGTTGATAATTTAAGTCTGCTGTATTCTTTTTTTTTTTTTTTCCAAAATGGACTGCATTAGTAGCACATTTTTCTTTTCTGCAGTTTTTTAAGTTGGTTGTGTTGAATAGTACATAATGCTACTAAGCACAAAGGTGAGATCTTCTTCTTGCTTGCAGGTTTTGTAGTTGTCAGGAGGTAGTAGCGTCCAGTAGCTTCTACTTGCCTCAGATTTGGGAGCAGAGGCAAGAGCGTGGTGCCTTCACCTGACAGCTTAGCTAGTTGAGTTGTGCAGATGGTCTGCTTATGAGATGATTGGGAGCATTTTGCTTCACACCTGACTTTTGCAATGCAGCTGTACACTGGGAGATATTCATTGGTGTACCTAGCAGAGCAGTGAAGCTGGAAGCTCTTGCACCTACTACTCTGTAGCAGTACTTAGTGGAAGGCCAGAGAACTTGAAATGCCTTCTTCCCCACAAGCTGCTTTTTGATGATTTGGGTAATTTCTCTGTCCTATGAGTTACATTCTGTTGTCATTGTCTAGGATGATACTTGTAAAAAGACTCTTATGTACTTGCCAGTCAGTGAAACACCTGCTTTTAGTATGGGGTTCATTTCCAGTCAGCCTCCTGAAGGACTTCTTCAACCTTTCTTTGACCTTTCTGCAGGCTTATGTCTGATGCTCAAAATGCTGACATGACCCACCCTTCCGGATGGTGTAAAAAAATTATTCTCATGGCTTAAATTTGCAGTATTTTACAGAACAGAGTGCTGAAACTTCCCAAGCTTTATTTTCAACCTGTTGGCATACCATTTATATTTACCTAGAGGGGAATGATGTATGGGAAGGAAGGGTAAGAACCTAGGAATGTCCAAAACATGGTCTTGCTACAGTCATATTTATGAGAGAGGTTGAATTTTCCTCAGGATATAAGAACAGACTGGTTGTTTAGTGTACATGGTTTATTTGGAAGAAGCGAGTAAGCAAATAAAAAGAATAATTTAGTTGATGATTTGAAGTACATGAAATCTGAAGAGTGTAGCTCTGAATCATTTAAAATCAGCAAGAGGGTGGATTAAAATCAGGGGCGAGTTTGTAAGCCATTGTTGTCATTGCTGTTGCTAGTGGCCAAGCTTTCTAGATGAAAAAAAAAGCTTGTCTGGATGTGACTACGCACAGACACAAGCACACGGCATCCTGGAATATGGGTGCGTTTTTGTGACTCTTCTTTCTGTCAGTTGGAAGTGCACACTGATGGTCTGGTCAAAAACTGCAGCTGTGTGCAAATACTGATTAGTGAAATCCATGTAGAAAAACTGCCTTGTAGTAAACCTCCTTCAAAGTCAGCATTGTTCCCTAATTTGTCAGCAGTTGTTGAGTATCTGTTACTGTTTGTAGCATTTATGAAGACAAACTGTAGATCTGTATTTACAAAACAGTGGTGAAAGCCATGCAGTCTGCTGCTTTCCAGCCTACAAATATGGATCTATAGGTATTTATAGATATGTTAAAATGCTGAGAAATTTCAGCTTTACTTAACCATTTGATATGTTCTTTTCTTCCTTCTCCAGGTTTGAGTGGTCGTTTCTTTGTCACAACACTTCCTACAATTTACCAGTAAGTGTGTCATACTAGGAACAGTTTTCTGTTTCAGTCTGTATTCCTTTTCTCCAGTCCAGTTTGAACAGTGGCATGGAAGATGTTATGAACAACTGCCTTACTTCACTTTTGTCAATCTCTAAAACATTTCTCGGGACTTCGATGCACTAAACAAACATAAAGTATGTATTTTTAACTTACGGTTGAAGGCTCTCCTCCAAACAGTTTTGTACTTAGATAAAAGTGATGCTTTTTCAGTCTGGAAACAACATTTAGTAGCATTTGTAAAAGTTGATGCAAGAACTGGTATTGGCTTCTAGGAACCTGACAGTATGCGAGCAAACATATTTGACCATATAGAATTGTCATTAAAATTTCTCATTTGAATAACTGACTGCATAGGTTGCATGTAAAACAGTACAGAAATTTTCCACTGTTTGTTGTACTGCTTCTCTTACTGCTAGAATTCTTCATCTGTTGGCTCAGTATCAACATGTAGCTGTTGATTCCTATTTGTCATTTGTTTTAAACTGTAACTCTGAAATGCAGGTAAAAATAAAGGAATACTGCCTTTTGATTTATTCAGGTTATTGCTTAGAGCTTTGATTATGTTGATATAGCCCTTACCAGAGGCTTTTCCTTAGTTTAAGTGACTTTACTAATTTCCCCATTTGAAAAAACAGATCAGGCAAGACATTTGCTGTAACTCCAGTAAAAAGATGTCATCCTTTAAATATTGAACTCTCTATTAAGTCATGGTATTGAGTCGAGCAGAGATAGATATATACACATACACATATATGCATGCTTTTAATTCTGAGTTGTGTCTAAAAAATGGTTTGGTGGTTAACCTCATGTACTTTGTATTTGCTGTAGTGTGATTGCATATTTAATAAAAATAGCAGTCTTATTCATAGAATGGTTTTGGTTGGAAGGGACCTTAAAGGTCATTTGGTTCCAACCCCCCTGCCATGGGCAGGGACACCTTCCACTCGATCAGGTTGCTCAGAGCCTTATACAACCTGGCCTTGAACCCTTCCAGGGCAAATAAATGGAATAATAAATGGCAAAACCTCATGCTGTTCAAAAACTGAGACCTTCCATCATGGATTACAGTTCCAAAACATGCAGAAAATGCTTTGGTGTTCAACTTTCTGAGCAATTCAGATCTATAAAGTATATGGGCTTTTTTTTTTTCACCACAGATACAGTTTAAAAAGGTAACTGTTTAATGTGTACTTGTTTTTCAGTGCAAACGATGGAGTATTTCGCAGATACCGAGGCTCACGGACATTGGAAGATCTTCAAGGTTATGTTTTAGAGAGAAAGTGGGAAGCTGTGGAGCCTGTAGCGGGATGGAAGTCTCCATCTTCTATAATGTAACACTTTGTTTTTATTAACAAGAAACATGTTTCATAGCTCATTATTCATTAAGGGTGTTGTGTTGACAGCTTAGGGACATTGTAAGGCCTTTATTCCCTAGACATGTAGGTTTTGCAGAAGCAATCTGTATTGAAAGCCTGCTTTCTTGTTTCTCACCTTCAAAAGCACTTTATTTTCTACATTTGCTTTTGCTCATGCCTACTGAGGATTGTTTATATAATATTCAAAATATATGAAGAAAAAAAGTACACTGAGTGTTATGTAAGTGTCAGTTTTGATATCTGCTGAGTGCTGGAATCAAATGCATGTTTCTGTAGAGTATTGCTTCATGACTTCTGGCTACTTGGGGCAGGCAGCATTTAGCTTTAAGGATTTATTGTTTATTTGTTTACAGGGAACTCTTGTATCCTCCTTTAGAATTGTAAATGGTGTAGTGCTTACACAGTGTATCAGAATTTGTTTTCAGAGCATTGAATTTGCTTTGAAATAGCATAGAATGCTTTCACAATATAAAGGATGAATCAAAAATGTGAATGGCCTGCATTTTATTCTGGCTAAAGCTATTATGTTTAAGTTTATGTCAGAGATCCAGTGGGTGTCCTTATTTTTCATCTGAGAATGAGGAGGAGCGGTATGATACTTAGTAGGGGGAGAGGAGCTACAGGACTGGAATTGGTATTTCTTGATTATGCTCAGATGTCATCTTTCATGTCACTGTTTCAATGCTTTGTAATCAGCTGACTTTAAATGAAGATAATACAGAGAAAGTGCAGTTATTTGCAGTAGCCTTCTTTTGACAATTACTATGGGCTGAATGGCATTGACAGTCTATAGATAGAATCTGCTTCTGGTTTCTGGGCAGTTTGTTGTGTATTGCAATTCCTATCCATCTGTCTTAGAACCCGTTCCTTCCTTTTCTTGGTTTTCTAGGATGCATGGTATGGCAGGGCTCTTTCACCTCTCTGGATGGATCAGGGTAAGTAATTATTTGGTAGTGTTTTCCATACCCCCTCTTATGCTTAGAATAATAATCTGCTTAGAAGTCAAAACCTGACTAATTCTATTGTCCTTTTATAAGAGTTAAATTTTCCTTACATTTGCTCTATGTCGGGTGTATAGTATCTTTGCACTATAAATTTTGTAGTACTGATAGACTATGCCAACAATGGCAGTTTGATTATAAAGATTATCATCAGTACTGAAAAAACTTACTGGTCTTATTATCTTGGTACAGCTAAAATGTTCTATCAGTGTGCTAATGTGATAATGTAGTTTTTTGAGAGCTGCTGCAAAAATGGTTGTAAACATCAGGAATTAATTTAGTATCTACCAGGTTCTCACTTAATACGATTCCTAAAGATTAGATCCAGGTTCATTTTCAGAGTTATAAGTCATGCTCTTCTGCAATTCATTGATATCGAGTGTTTTGTACAGAAGAAGAGAGGATAATGGTTTTATATTTTTTAGGAAGAGTTTCTGCATCTGGATTTCAGACTGTCAACACTATTTTCATAGGAGCACAACAAATTTGGACAGTAGAGTAATTATCAGAAGCAAAGGAGAAATGCTTAGTGTACACTGAAGTATGTTTTGAACTTAAAAACGTTTCAAGACACTTTAGTTTGGGAGCCATCAAAGTTTTTCTGGTAGCATGCAAATACTGAAAATTGTCAGACCTTTCCAGTTTTGGTCAGGAAACATGCTTCCTTAAAATCTTCAAGTGTAGCCAAGATTGAGAGACTGTATGTGATTGTAGCAAAAGGTCTTAATATTGTAATGTGCTACAAAAAAATAACTGTAGCAGAGAGTTTGAACAGAGTTTGTATCACTTCCAGTAAGCATCTAACCAACCCAGAATGAAACATAACTTTCAGTTATTAGGTTTCCTGTCCAAGTTATCTTTGATTCTTTCTTTCACTGGGTAGTATTAAGTTTTTATAGTCTTCTGGTGTTTCTCGTTCATGGTTGTTGTGTAATTACGTTGTCTCTGTCTGTTTTCCTTCCTGAAGATTAAATGCTCTGGGAAGAAACCTTCTCTCATTTGCTTTCTGTTTTGGTGAATATTTCACCTCTACATTTCCTCACTCTTCTTGCTGTGCTGTCCTTGCATATGCTTTAATAATTGTTGGAAGCTGTTCTGATATAAAAAAACCCCAAACCTGGAATTTTAATATTTAAAGCTTTGTAAATGTTGATTGTGGTTTGTTTTCTAATGGATATACTGTTGGAAGAGATGTAATTTCGTAATTTACTTCCTAGCAGACTATCTGACTCGATGTGATGCTTGGTCAATTGAATTTGTAGGTTTGAATAGCAGTCTTTATTTTCAAAAAAAATCTTAATATAATGTATTTGGATTATTCTTTTTAAATTTATAAATGAAAACACTTATTCAATATCTACTTAGAATGGGTGGCTCCTTTTAAGAACTAAAGAGCTTGTCTAAGAACTGAATGGATCAATTTTAGTTAATGAATTAATTTCTACACTTAAGTATGTATTTGGATCTTGTGTAACTTTAAATGTCTACCACTCCATTTCCCAGATGTAACTGTGAGGATAAAGCTCTGCACGAGGTTACATTTTTTTTTTTCACTTGGTGGTATGCTTGTGGAGTGGGTTTAAAAGGACGCTTGCTTTTAACCTGACTTGGTTACTTTTTTGGTTCAGAAATGTTTAAGTTGTAAGTTACCTTTTTTAAATAACGAGCTTCATAGACTTCTGTTGGTGCTGTGACTGCCATTATCAGGGATGCTTGCTATATGGTGTCCTTCCTACAACAGACCCCATAAGAACGAAAGTACAGGTTCATGCTGTGGGTTCATCTAGCAGGACAGCCTGCCTCTGACAGTTGCCACATTCTTAGAGTATATAAGGATCAAGAATATTGTGATGAGGCTTCCTCATACATTTATCTGCAGTAGAATTATGTATGGCATCTCAGATGCTGAGTATCCTAGGAAGAAGAAATTGTGCATCCTTTGCTTAAAAGCCTTTTAATGTGAACAACTCAGTAAAGAAAAGCAGGGTTTAATGGTATTAAAAGTATTATAATGTGACATTTAAGGATGACTGTGGATTGAGAGGGAAGACTTTAGTATAAATACTGTTAAAATAGAGGTCTTAGATAACAATTTATGTAATAGTGATGGCAGTATAAATCATGTTTGGTGTTAGGTATGAAGTTATTAAGTATCTTCTTCTCATTTCCAGCAAATTCATAGCTACCTCACTGGCACTCTTGGAATTCACGTTTGGCTTTCTTACGCAATCTTCATCCTAGCTACCTTATTGATTGGCCTGTTCCTGGGTTTGGTAAGAAAGCATATTACTTTCTTTTTATCAGTTACCTAAAACTTTTTCTTTGCATTGACTTGTGAAAAAAAGAATAAATTTCACTGATAAGTATAGTGAAGTATCTTATTTTAATGATGCATCTTTTCTCCCTGGTATCCAGTGATAAGAGGGGATGATTCAAACCTGTGCCAGGGAAGGTTTAGTCAGGACATTAGGAAGCATTTCTTTACTGAGAGGCTGGTCAAACACTGGAACAGGCTTCCTAGAGAGGTGGTCAATGTGCCGTGCCTGTCAGTGTTTAAGAGGCGTTTGGACAATGCCCTTAATGTGCTTTAACTTGGTCAGCCATGCATTGGTCAGGCAGTTGGACTTGATGGTCGTTTTAGGTCCTTTCCAACTGAAATATTCTATTCTATTCTCTTCTATTAAAATCCTGAAGTATTCATTACTGCAGGTCTAGTCTAGTGTTACCTACTTCTGGTAAAAGTTAAGACTGGTTCACTCAAATAAGTTAACCTTTTTATGAAAATCATGCTTCAGTTTAGCTCTGTTTAGTCCATCCACTAAACAAGTGATTTTCATATTGGCCTTTTGTATAAAAGTCTGTTGTACTTAAGGATTGAATGAGTGTGGTCAGAATTGTATAAAGACTCCAGCTTGGTAAAAACACAGGGTTTGTGGAGAGACTTTTATTAGCTGGAGTGGGATTGCATTTGTGGGAGTTAGCAACATAAGTATGCTGCTGCACTGTTGCTCAAAATGAAAGAATGAAAATATTTTTTTTTTTTTAAAAGGCTTTGAAGGTTTGGGGGTTTAATTGATATGCCCTATTCCAGGACATAGCTTTGTGGTTACAGGTTGGGTTTAATGAAATCTGACTTTACTTTTTTTTCTCCCCCATGATCTTTTGATTTGAGTTCTCATTACTAACTGAATAATCTGACCTCCTTTGTTACTAACCAGAACTGGTACATCTATATATCAATCTCCAAAACATCAGGAAGGTTATTCAAACCAACCTGTTAGCTATATATGTGAATGTTAAGGACCATATCCTGAGCCCTGTGTTGTTTCATCAGTGGAAACAGTTTAAAGTTGCTTTACCTGTGGAGCTGGGATTACTTCCTCTCAGAATATTTGACTGATGTGGCTTTATGACCTCATCAATATCAATATTAGATGAGAAACTGAGCTGGAAAAGGAGATACAGATGGGAATAGAAGTTTTCAGACTAGTTGCTTGGTCTACAAGCATGCTCTGCAACTGCAGAACCAATTGAAAACAGCTATGCTGATAACTGGTTTAACTAGCTGCTACATTGCTGTTCCACACAGGAAGAGTAAAGGCTGGTTCTGGCACTTGGATCTCTGCCATTCAGCTGAAATACCAGTGCTAGTGAAATAAAGAAAAAATGCATGAGCGTGTTTCTCAGTAGTACAGGGAAGGGATTTCAAAGCAATGTGTGTGTATTTAGGCAAAACCACATTTTTATATAAAATCTGTGTACAGAATTGGTATATGTGAGCAAATGTCTTTCATTATATAATTAAAACAGCTGCATTTTTCTAGATGGTAGATTTTCATCACCAAATGAGTGCAAATCAAGTTAGTGTAACTAGGAGCAAATGAATATGATGATTTAAAAAAACCCTTTCCTCCTTCCTCTTTCACTAACAAAAACAAACCTGAGAAAGCTGAAGCAATGCGAAATTCATGTCAGTTTTTTCTAAAAAGTTGTTCAATGATTGAAATGTGTTTCTTTAAGATGGTATCATCTATCTTTTCTTTTCTCTGCATTATTCTTAGCACGTTACAATGAGGCACAAATATCTTCCTTGCGTTTTGATTGTATGTGTTATACACTAGGCTGCTTTGAGTAACAACAGAAAAACCTGTAAGACAAAATCAAGCGCAGAAGCTGGAATTGGGGAGTCAGGTAGGAATTGAATAACATCCCAAAATACAGGAAATCTTGATCCAGAAGGTTTCATAAGTTTTAAATAAAATTTCCTCAGCAGTCATCTGGGCCTCTCTTCTTAAGATGCAAGCCGTTTCAATACTGAATAAATTTAGGGGAGTAGGAGGCAGAAACTTTAGAGTAGAAAGCAGAGAATGTTGGTTGGTGTACACTGAGAGCACACTTTTTTCCATGTATTTATTTAGCTCTTATCTCTGAGCAAGATAATATAATTTTCTAAATTTTATTGTATGTCTATTTAAGAAGTATGAATAGGAGAATACTTAATAGTGTAGGGGCTGCTGGGATGATTTGCTAGTAAATGCCTTTTTTTTTCTTTTGCACAGATACTAGTTTTGATTTCAGACTGCCTTTGCCCATCCAAGTCAAGATACAGAGCTGAAACATCTGGTAAGAACTTGTGAAGCGGGTGAGATACAAGTTTACATTTAAACCTACAGTAGGAGGGAGGGCAATACACTGTCAGGAACTTAGATGTGAACCAATAATCCAGGTATTCATTTTAGTCACACTGATAAAGGTTGATATGTTGCGCTCTAAAAGCAAAAGCAGCAAAAACCAAGAGTAGTTTGTTCTAGCTTCCACAGCTGTGAAGAAGCTAAATGCAATTAAAATAAGGAAGTCTTGAAGAAAGATACTGGGGTTTGTGTATTTTATGCAGATGCATATTCACTAGACCTGTTGCTTAAATACAGGAAAGAATTTGCTTTGACAGGAGACTTCCACATCCTAATATGCACTCTATATATTGCATTGGGAGATGCAACATTCTGAACCTGTAAAATTCTCTATGTAATTTGGCTGGGGAAAGAAGATAGAGGGAATTAAATGAGTCTGGGAACCGGGGAAGGCATTGCATCTCCTTCAAATAAAAGAAGAAAGCATGCATCTCACTGATCCTTAGTGAGGGGGCTTTGAAATAGTATTCTGCTCCCTATGAATGGACATGGGAGGCAGAAATTTGCACACAAAATAAAGTCTCTTAAGAGCACCAGCCGTGTGGTAAGCTCCAGAATGCCATTTGGTACATTTGTGCTATTAAGTGGAATAAAAGCTTTACAGTGATAAAAAAATTTATTTTTTAATTGTGTACATTTTTGTGTATTGGTTTACTGTTGAAGGTGAAGATGCATCTGTGACCCTTGCCAGTAAGACTTCCGCTGACTCTAGAATTCATAATTGTGCAGAATTACCATCTTCAAAATCTTAGTTGTTCATCACTATCAAAAGAAAACCACACTTGTGCAGTATGGTATCCAGTTGGCTGGTTGACTTGGCAGCAGCTGTTACCCAACAGAGCTTACCAGTATTTTATCCCTTTCCCACTGATTTGTTTGATAATTATGCCTCTTCAAAGAGTCAAGTAAAATTGATCTGTCTAGTTTGTAACTTGGTGGAACAGAATGAAAGCTATCTATGTCTGTTACGCAGGAGGAGAAATACTATTGAAGATTTATTTGAAATAATTGAAAAACTAAGGGAAATATAACCTTGTACAAGTTTTCAGTAATAACGTTCATGAACATCTCAGAATACATACATGGTGATGTAACTTTAAAAGGCATTGTTCTGAGATTTAGTGTAACTTCAGTATTTGAAACTCTTCTTTTGTTTAGAAGAAACAATTACAAAGGATAATGTGGAGAATGCAGCATTAGAAGAACCGGAGGAGGCTGCAGAGCTTTCTGCAGATGATGTGGAAGAGACTGCAGATGTAAAAGATCTCTCAGATAGGGAAGACGCAGCAAATTCCAGTGTGGATGACTCAGAGGAGGATTTACCACTTGGAAAAGAATCAGGGGAAGAAGAAACGGAAGACTTAAGTGAACAACCTTTAGCTGATTCAGAGACTGAAAGCTCAGTAAGACAGCGTAAAAGTCAGGTGGCTGATAATGGACTATAGCTTTTTTCGGTGGTGTATTTTGTACACTTGGACCAAAGAAGTATCAGACCCTGGGTCTGAAGCTGAAGCTTACACTTGATTTGTCGTATGTGTTTACGCAAAACCTCTGTTTTGTTAACAAGCTTCCCTTTTATTTTAAGCTAATGCTCGATTGCTTACTTCATTTTATAAGCACATATGCTGTGTGTTGTATAACTTTAGCCACGACAATCAAAATAAGTGTATCTTATCTGTTTGAAGTCTTCGTAGAGAAAAAGAGTGTAACAGTCTTAGTTCACCAGCTGTAAAATGGTCTTCTATGGTTGTGTTCCTTTAAGTATTGACTTAAACAAGATCAGGACTTTTAACTCTTTACAATAGCTTGACAGGACTGGCTTTTCTGTCTGAATAGTTTTTGTTTCCCACTGCCACAGAAGCACCGGGTAAGTGATGCAGTAGTGAAAGAAGGCACCTTACTAGTCTTCTATTAAAATGTTGTGTACAATGGGTGTATTTTTATCACTTTCAACCGAAGCACCTTTCACTTTTATTAATGTTTGTTTTGAAAGTTTAGCATACAGTACGCCTCCAGATTTTTCAGTTTTTAGCAATTTGGAGGCATGCTGCACAGCTTAAGCTTGTCAGCTGAGTTTTTTGACCCAAGGAGTTTGACTAATTGAAAACCTCAGGCTGAGAAAGAGTGGCAGCTATATGTTTAAAGTATGTTTGAGCTTTTAAAAGGTTTATAGGAAATTATTTTGGTCAGGGGGGATTTTTGCCAAAGCATGACTTTTTTTTTTTTTTTTTCTTTTTTTCCCCACTTTAGGAGATCATAGCAAGAAGTATTCACTTTGCAGTCAGTAAGTTGTATAATTCTTGCCAATACAAGCTTGTTGTACGCAGTGCAGTTCTGCCATTTCCAACTCAGAATACTTTTGGCACAACTCAGACTGCTTCAGTGATATTAACTGAAGGTGGCACTTAAGGTTTTACCTTTGATCACTTCTGCTTTCTGTCACTGGAGTCAGCATGTTAGGAAAAGAGGGTCATGGGGGGGGGAGCGGGGAGAAGCTTTTGGTTTTGCTACTTACATCACGATAAATGTGTGTCTGTTGAACTGTGTAAAGTGAAAATGACTTGCCAGGTAGGCAGCATTAGGTCTGGTTAGAAGACTTAAGTCATTAAAGATATCAGTATTTCCCTCCTTTGACTTGATTAATGTATAAGGCTTATTTTTTTGGTAAGGAATACCTACAATGAGATCCTGTATATTCCTGTTTTGTTGATGTGTGATCATGTGCATAAGATGTGTCTTAATGTTGATTTTTTTGTTGATGTTTTTTATATAAATGTTGCATAAACTTTTCTAACATCCATGAAATTCATCTTGTTTTTCAAGAATAAAGAGTAATCAGAGATTAAATCAACTCTTATTAGAAGAGACAAGTTGCAAGTACAAAATGCTGGCTTCCTTTGAGACTGAGATTAATAGGCCCAGTTTGTGTTGAATGTTGGTTTTGTTTTGTTTGTTTGTTTTTCTTTTTGTGTGTGGGGTTTTTTTTTTGTTTTTTTTAAGTGCTCATAAAGAGCATATTTACTAAGAAAGCTTAGCTTTTTCTGTCTGTGTCCTGTTCTATATGGTGTCTTGGAACTATATGATAGAAACTTTGCATTTGTCTGTTACAGCTGTGTAAAGAACAAAATTACACTGCATATATTGAATATGAATTATTTTTTTTTGAGGAAAGTTCTCAGTCAAGAGCTTGAATTTCATATAGTGGACACATGTAAATATGCTTCCACGTATGTGAAAAAATGCAGTTGATATATATATATATATATACATTGCACTATAATGAGAACTGTTTGTCTTGTGTTATTTGGACGTTGTCCCATGTAACTGAGCATTTGTAGAAGCTTACAGACAGCAGAACTCAGTAGCCGTTGAGGTACATAGGTGGTTTTTTTTGTTTGTTTGTTTGGTTGGTTTTTTTGTTTGTTTGTTGTTTTTTTTTTTTTTTTTTTTAACTCAAACTAAGCTTTTATTTGAAAAAAATAAGTAAACTTTTTGGCTGCTGTAGTCTGGAGGGAAGTACTGTGCACCTAAAAGCTCAGAATACAGATTTGTTGTTTCCATCATGTATTTGCTTTTTCATTATCAGTGCATCAGGAGCTTGTGAAAGTCTAAAAGAAAAACAAGACTTTAACCATATTCATGAGATGAGGAGTTGGTGTGTATATTCAGTTACATGAACTTGCATAAGATAACAATAGACATATCCCCTCAGTCATGGATCCAGAACTACCAGACGCTGAAAAATGTGGGACTGTGTCCAGCACAGATTGAGGACAATGATGACTTTGGTTGTGTACAAAGAGGTTATTTTATACTGCGTGTGGGGTCTTGTGATGCTCAGTGTGTAGGAAAGAACATGCCAGTATTAAATTTTGATTCAGTTTCTCTTCACATTTGTAATATCATGGATCCAGTCATCTAATATCCTCTTCAGCTGTTTAAAGAGGCTTTAAAGATACAGAACATCCTTATATCTCACAGTGGCTTTGTTGTATACTGTTGGGAATATGAAGTGTTAAAAAGTCGAGTGTACTTCTTTTCAGTGCTCAAGATGAAGTATGTGGGCTTTTTGAATGCTTAGACAAATGAGGTGTTCTCACAAGAGCTGGATTTCAGTACGATGTGTTTGAAGTTAAAAACCAAACAAAACTACAAACCACACTTTGTCCTACAAGATCTGTGGTTTATGAGATGGTCAGAAGCTCCTTTGTGTGGTGATTCTCTGAAGTCTCTGCTTACGTTTCTTCTGGTTTTGTATGTCACTGTTAAGTCTGGATTATTTAAAATTAAGATACTAAATATTTTCCATCGTAATAGACCTAACTGTAAGATCACTGTCTGAGGAGCAGGGATTAAGTAAGCAGGCAGAAAGTGGCATCAGCTCATCTCTTCATAGATCTGTCATGTGAATCTGGAAATGAGCTATACCAGTCTTCTAAGGTTTCTTGAAGATAACACACGAGAAATGGCACATATATTTTCACTAATAAAGCAGGGAATATAAATGCTAACTTGGGTTTGACTATATTTGACATGTATTGGAATACCTTATTACAAAGAGCACTAAATTCTGATTAAGAGTTTAGAAAAACCTGCAATGCAACCACCGATATCTACTTAGTTTTACATTTGTAGGAAAAATACTGTAGCGTGGTACTGGAGATACTCAACTTTGAGTAATGTTTATGCAACAAACAACAAGTAGCAAACACTGTATAGGCTAAATTTGTGTTTAACAGAAAGATCATTTAGCTATGCAGTGGAACTGTGATGTTAATATACTTTCCAGAATCAAGGTGTTTTCCACTAAAACACAGTCATCGAATCATACCAGTATAGTACTAATTAGACTATTACAATGGTATTAAATTTAGTGTGTTTCCAAAAAAAAAAAGTCATTACCCAACCTTTTGTGCCATCTGAGTGTTCTGTTATCTCGGTTCTGTTGTGATTAATTTTAAAAAATGGAACTTGTTCTTGCAACCTCAGTATAGAAAAAATGTCCTTGGAGAAGCTGCTGCTAACACTGTTCAAAATGTTTTGATTAAGGATAGGGCTGTCAGGCTTGTAAACTAGAGCTGTATGTCAAAAGTGACTTAAGATTTTTTTTTTTTTTTGAGAACCAATTTAAATTTCAAATGGGATACATGCCACTCTGAAAACCAGTCCCTGATGGATCTGAATGTGAATGCTTAAAAGCAAGTCATTCAAAAAATCCAGCGGGTTACTTTTTAAAGAGACTAGAAATACAAACAGTCTTTGAAAACTCCTGTCCTTGAGCTTTCTGTGAAACTTGTATGCGTGTCTTGGAATACTCTGTATATGCTGCACCTGTGCTGGGCAGGACTTGTTTTGTGGGCTTTCTTCATGGAAATGTCACACGGGATTGTCTTTTATATGAAAGTGTTGCAAATTTATAGTATGGGTATTTTTACTGAAATTCCATATAAATTTTGTATTTATGATCATCTTGTAGTTAGTTTTCATTTTCTCAGTGTGTAGATGGCTCATCTGTGTAATTAACAAAAGATTTTTTTTTTTTTTTTTTTTTTTTAATACTGCTCTTCCAGTGAATAAGAGGTTGTGATTTGTGAAGATTCCTTAAGCTCTTAGAAACAAACCTGTATGTTAATGAATTGCTTACTCCTTACAGGAGTGAAAAAAGGCTTTGGGAGAAGCATACCTAGATTGCGGGTTTCCCTGCAGGCACTCTGGGCTGAGCAGTTCCCCTCCCGAAGGTATGAAAATGCAGCTGGGGCTCAGCTGCAGGCTGCAAAGAGTGTAACTCTGAACCCTTGAGGGATTATTAAGTTAGTGGGGGTTTTTTTGTTTTGTTTTTTTTTTTTCTCCCTCCTGAGAAATCCACTAACTGCAAATCATGTGCCGACTCTCTCTGGTATCTGGAGGGCAGCCATACGTTCCTCCCCGACTGACGCGGCCCAAGAGCCGTGCCCAGATCCGAATGGCCCGGCTTCCGAGGGCGGTTCGCAGCAAGCGGCTGTGGCTAAAGCAACAGGCCTTAGGGCTGCGGGTGCTGGGGGGGTGGGGGGGGAAGAGACTACTGGGAGCCGTCGCTGGAACTTACTTGGACGTTGTGGACAACTGCAGGATCCGGTACACAGCATCCTTCTCCCCAGGTGAGTTCCCTGAAGTGCCTCTCGCTGAGCGGAGCTGCTGCGTGGGGTGGGTGATTGGCCGTTCGCTTGGCTTCCCTTCTCTTCCATGGCTTTGATTTCCTGGTGGAAAGTTGAAGGGGGAATGGTGTCAGAGGAAGCCCTTGTGAGCAGTCTGTTTTACTATTTAATCAACTGCTGCTCGTTCTGCCTCATGATGTGAGAAGAGGAAATTTTCAGGTGGAATGCCACAGGGAAAATCCAATCAGGTTTGGAAAATTACTTTGAGCAATCAGACAAACCTAAACTGTATTTTTACAGAGGAAATATGAAGATACCTCTCTGAGGGGGTGTACTGGAGCAGTAGAAAAACTTGAGTTTCGACCTGGGAGTTTGGAGCTGGACCAGTGGTATCTCCCAGCTCTGGCAACGGGGCTGCTGAGCAGCGTGTGCCCCCTCCGAGGAGCCGATCACACGCGGAGAACGGCACGCTGGGTGGCTGCTGCTGGCCTCTTCGCAGGAGGTCTTTTGGCTGCCGTAAGGGAATGGATCCCCTCCTTTTCCCTTTTCTGAGTATTAAACACCCCCCCCACACACACACATGCGCGTGCCACACCAGGCTGCTTGGCTGAAGGGCTGCCCAGGAGGAAATGTTGCATGTCCCTTGTGATGCTTGTGCAGCTCCTCCCAGGAGCTGCCTGCCTTTTCTCCAATTTTCTGCTTATCCTTCCACTCCTAACCTGTCACGCAGCAGTGGGTCAGTTGTAAGCTCACTTGACAGGGAGCTAAGTCGTCTGATCCTTTTCTTTCATTCCCTTCCCTATGGGAGAAAAGAAGTGTTGTGTTTTACTTTAATGAAAACCAGAGTGACTACTTCTTTTAACCAAACATCTTCATTTCTCTCCCAGTAGAAAAACACTTGAGAAACTGTGTACTCTACTTTCACTTTGTCTTTACCGAGGCGAAAAGAAAGCTCCATATTTAAACACATGGGGAACAAATGAGGATTTAGTAATCAAATATTTTTGGTTAAATTTCCATTTTATATGGAAAGGCCGTTTTTCTTAGATCGTTAGCATTTCTCAGAGCTTGCTAGTACCGAATTCCAGTGGGGTGTGAGAGCTGAAAAGACACTGCCCCTTGTCTCGCCACAGACCGTGCCAGTAGCTCTTATGCTTGCAGAGGATGCAGAAATGACGGTGGTCATTCAAAGTGTTTGACCTTCAGTCCCGCCCCAAGGACATGAGCATGCTTGGTAAGGGCATTTTTTAGGTCTGGTTATCGCTGTCCAGTCGAGGGGGGGGACAAAAAAGGTGTTGAGAACCTCTTTGTCGGTCTCCCCTGAACGGTTTCCACTGTGCTCAAAGTCATCCAGGTCCTCCCAGGAGAGCTGGCTCTCCAGTTGATGCTCTGGTCTCCCTCCACCCCCGCAGACCCCAGACTTCCCACCTGGCTTCCCCAAATTAGACGTTCAGGGGCCGGTTAGGGACTCTGTCTGTGCTGAACAGCCAAGAAACCCTCATACCTGCGACGGGCCCGTCATTTTCAACTCGGTCTTGTGATGAAGCCGCAGGCAGCTTCTAGTAAAAAAAGCCTCAAATGTTTTTCTGTTGATTCTTTTCACCAACTTGGAGGGGCCAAAGTAAATTGGTTCAGCTCTGATTGATATGATATACTTGCTGAAAACACTTCGCAATCTGTAAATAGGTGTTTTCTGACGACTTGGATAAATTAATAAATACTCATGGAGGATTTGGAAGTCAAAATAACAGGTTGCTTATGTAAGTTACTTGATAAAACAGCTTTGCGCAACCGTCTTGAGAAATAAGTAATCACTGGGACAGGGAAATATTTTAATTATATACTGCAGTTAACTTTTCCAGTTAATCTTTACTGCAGTGAGAAGATCCCAGCTGACTCCTCCGTCACCTATGGAGGTTTTTGCATGTTGACATCGATGTCTCCCTGATTCTGCAGGAGGACGCAGTGGTTTGGACTAAAATGCTGTGTAGTGATCTCCCTCTCGAGCAAGTGACATGTGTAAGGACAAGCATGTTAGCTGATATTTCTTAGAACACTTTTTTGGCTTTTGATTGGGAGCGTTTTCTAAGACAGAAGTTGTATCTCTGTGTTTCATAGCCCTTTAACAGGGGGGTGGGATTTCTTCCAGAATTTGTGATACCCCTTTTTGAGCTAAAGTGCAGTTTCTTTTGCAGACCCTAGTTCAGCAGAGCTCTGGTTCTGTGACATAATTCTCTGTCAGAAATTCTCTGGTGACCTATCAAAGGAACAAGTGAGAAGCAGTAGATATGGGAGAGGATGGTAATACTACCTTGGCTGTGTTAGAATTGGTTTGGTTGGTTTATTTATTTATTTATTTATTTATTGTGTGTGTGTGTGGGGGTGTTTTTGTTTTTGACTTTTTTTTGTTTTGTTTTTTGTTTGTTTGGTTGTGGTTTTTTTTGTTGTTGTTTGTTTTGGTTTTGGTTTTGTTTTGTTTTTTTTTTTCCTCTGCCCTAATCACATCTAAACATCTCAACCAAATCACACATTGACTTTTATCAGTGAGATATGCCATGCCTGCTTGGGTAAACTCTTCGCTGTTAAGTCAGCTGCTGTTCTTTTGCCTCAAGGTTAAAGTTCAGACAGCTGATATCTCATTAAGCAGCTGAAGGAAACCTCTCATCCAGAGAGATTAACTAAAATGAGGAGCCAATTACTTGGAGGGAAGCCTTGTCAGAGCTGGTCCATGTGTCAGTGTCAGGTGTGCTGGGGAGATGTTGGCTGCTCTTTCCTAGGGATTATGCCCATTAAAGACCAAGCAGTTCTAGTTTAGCAGCAGATTAAATTTATTTTGCTTTGTTTTGCTTCCTTTGTGCTGATACTGTCGCCTTCCACTGCACTCTAGCTTGTAAACGGGCGAGCAGTGGGAAGGAGGGGGGAGCAGGTCTTGCTGGAGTAGAAGAGTCTCTAGCTCCTGGGGGAGTCCAGGAGCTCTGTGGAGCTTCCCAGGGCACGTTGGCTGGGCGACAGCAGGAAGGCAGGGACCCCAGCTGGGCACTGCTCTGTGGTTGGCATGTCCAGGGGCATCCACAAAGGGTGGCATGTGAGCAACTTCATGATACGGGAGGGAAGAGGAACTTTTAGCCTGAGTGGCAAATAACAACCAGCAAAGTCCATCACGGATACTGTGTGAATGTGGCAAATGAGCATGTCAGCGGAGAGAGAAAGATCGTGTTGGGAAAGATTTTAAAGAGCTTAACCCTTTTTTTTTTTTTTTTTTTTTTTTTGGGAATATATACATTATAACAGTGTGGGGAGACTGGTGGTGAAATAGTATCGTTACTTTCAGCAATTTTTGTGCAACTTCCCAACATCAAAAGCTTTTGAATTCATTAAGATTGAATTCAGCTGCACATACTAAAATGTCTTGCTATCATGCAATGCTCGCTGTCTCATGCTCTAGGATAAATACCTGTGTTTAACACAGACAATGCATACTTTAAATAAATGAAAGCACATGTGTCCCCAGTTTTGTGTTGGCATTGCAGAGAAATGTCAATGTTAAGTCATTAAGTTGCATTGAAATTATATCTGACACTGATGTGTGATACGTGCCTCATGGTGTAATTTATGTACATTGATATTAATTTCCAGTAATTCCTCCCATTAATATTCTGATTGACCATAAAAATGTTCCTGTACACGCTCTGTACCACTTAATCTGAGGTGCCCTTATCTAGGAAAGCAGGTAGAGAAATAGCTGCAAATCATTTAGTGCCATCGTTCCCTTTAAATGATTCCCGAGACTGAGCTCACAGCTGGCACCATCCTTCCTGCCTCAGTCCCTGAGAGATTCCTCCAAAAATATTTGACAGTCTCCTTTGAATCTTAAGCATTTTTCTCGCTCTTTGCAGAATATTGTGTTCCTAAGTTGTTATTTATAAACCAGCAGCAAGGAAGATGGCTGTAGTTTTCACAGAGGTGTATCTATATATAACTTGATGTTCTCTTGCTGAAGAATGAAAAAAATCAAGTCAATTAAAAGCCCCAAATCGTTGGATGGAGTGAGTCACGGCCGTACTTCTGTTGCCTCGGTGCACCACGAATAGTGAGCAGTGAGCAGAACACAGGCTCTGCGGTTTGCTGGCACCAGAGGTGTGCGGTGAGCGCGGCGTGTGCTGCTTCGCTGCCAGGTCTGCCCTGCCTCGCCCTGCTCTGGGGGGTTCGTCTCCCATTCAGGGATCCATTTCTCCCTTCTTCCCCAAATCTGGTTTTAATAAAATGGTGGTGGCAACGACTGAAATGTGCCCAGGTGGAAAACCGAATTATATACACACGTGATATACTTGCAAGTTTTCCCTGTCAAACAAATATGTGTACCTGTTGCTAATGATGTATATTTGTTAAATTTTAAGTCAAGATTTAATCAATAAATCTTCCCTGATTCTGTTACACCTTGGATGAGTGTCATTCCTTTGATAAGTTACTTTTATTTCCAGCTGGTGAGTGCATCTGACTTCATAACATTTTAAGAATAACTAGAGCTCTATGGGTTTTGGAGGTGGAATTACCTTAAAATCAGGAGCCATTTCCCTGAGGGGATGTATCTGATGCCTGAGCTGCCCGGCAGCTAGGTCTCTGCAATTTGACTCAGTATCCAGGATTTTAATGGAAATAACTGGAAACTCGCTTGTGTTAGGTGTCCTGAATGTCCAGGCTGGGACCTGCTGTTATAAATCATCTAAATCAAGATTTGCTTTTTGGGCATAAAAAATATCTTTCTCGTTTCAGTCTCCTGGATATTTTGGATCATACAGGCATATACGAGAGACTGTACGTTCCTGTTATTGCAGGTTTAAGTCATGCATGCTACACCTACGTATTTCTTTGCTGAAAGTTTTTCTTTCTTTTTTGCCATATTTTATTCTATTATGTTCTAGGTTGGCCTTGACCACACGAAATAAAATGTGGTGCTGAAGTCCAATATGTCACAAGAAGTTTGTGTATTTATTTTTTTTTTGTATGTAGGTAAGTTGAATCCTGATGAAGTCCTGTATTAATGATTTACAGACAAAAATACCAAGCTTAAAAGAAAGAGAAGTAGGAATAAACTAACCCTGTGAGATCGGCAAGCATGTCTGGAAAACCAGTTTGTATTGCTGATTTTGAAGAGTATGCTAAAAAGTTTCTCCCCAAATCAGTGTATGATTATTACCGATCTGGAGCAGATGACCAGGAAACGCTAGCAGACAACGTAGCAGCATTTTCAAGGTAGGAGGATGATTTAAGGCTGGAGTGGGAGGTAGGGGGTGTAAATTCTGCTTTATTAGTAGATGTGATACAATATTAGATTTTTCTGTGTGAAAAAAAAACCCTCATTTTTTCTGCAACTTTTTTAGCAAAAAGACTCTCAAATAATAAATTTTCAGAACAACTCTTTCTCCCCTTTCACCTCTCCACCTGACATTTTCTCTCAAAAGCAGTCCCTAAAATCCATTAACGTATTTTTAGCTTCACTTGCGTTTTGTTTCGTTACCATAAATTCTCTAAAGAGTCCATCACCTCCAATATTTAATCAGTTGATGAAACTAATTTCTACATTTTGGGCTAGAATGCTGGCAAGGGATTCTTGTAGCAGGGGTTGTACCTTTTATGATGTCCTGAGTCAGTTTTGCCTTTTGCTTGTTTTTCCTGAACTGAGTTACACAGCCTTCCCTGCTAAGTGCACGTGCAGCATTGCTGGATGAGAGCCGCGTGGCCTCGCAGAAAGGAGTTGTGTATCCTGGCTCTGGAGCGAGTGTGAAAGCCAGGGCTCAGTCCTGGGTGGCCAAGCTGTGCTCGGGACATTTCCAGCACAAGGTCAGCACTTCACTGGGAAATATTGTAAATTATAAGTACTGTTATAAACCAGTTTTGACTTGGATTGGCCCCCCTGAACTGTTGTCAAAACCTGTATTGGGGCACCCCTTTGTCTCAGAAGTCGAAGGTCAAGACTAAGTTGGTGTTTGCTGTCAGATTGGGTGGAAGAGTGGTAAAATGCACGTCAAGTCAGTTGGTTCCCCATTCCCTGAATCTCTGCTGCCGCTCTGCCTGCGGAGCATCAGCCTGAGCACTGCAGAGGAAAGGCGGCAGCTGGAGGCTGACGGACTCAGCCCGGCTGAACCCAGCTGAACTGCTTAAACCGCTGGTGGCTTCTCTTTCCTCTGGGTGCGGTGTTGGTGCAGGCATTTAACCCCCCTGCACTTGTCTCTGCTGAATTCTAAAGGCTTTGTCTTAAATCCCACTGAGTCTAACAAACCAAACCAACATTTTTTCCAATTTATCTTTAGTCTTTCTCCCTCCCTGCTTTGCCTTTCTGCTGTGGAGCAGCAATCCTACTTACTGCTCCCGTTGCCTTTCCACGGGCTATGAGCAGTTCAGCTGGAAATCCCATGCAGCTTGAAGGCGGTAGGAAACTCAGTGCTCATTTACTTAGTGGGATCTCAAAGGTCTGATCTCAGAAATTGGATCAGAACTTTAATTTTAGGGACACATATAGAAAAGCTTTATAATGCCAGGAGAAGTAGAAAACTAACGTCCACTGTGATCACTTACTTCAGACCTCTTACCTCCACGCAGAAGCCCCCATCACAGACTGGGAATCCCCTTGTGCTTGGGGCTGATCAAACACAAGCCGAGGACTGTTCTGGTTCTAAGGAGTGAGTAGGAGCAGGAGGTGATGTAGTAGGGCTCACCTAATATTTATTTTTTTAGTTTTGTTTTTTTTTTTAATGCTTCCAGATGCTATGGTGTTATTTGCCTTCATAAAAACAAAATGAGATGTTAAGGAAAGGACACTCAAAGGAAGCGCTTGGAGGCTGTAGAAGTGGTGAAGCTTTTATTCCTAACTTCTAGAGCTAATCATGATCAAGCAAAGGTTGGATCTAATCTGCCTGGAGCCAGACTAACAAAAAGCTGAGTATGTACACTTGCTGTTTTGGTATTAGCGGAGCTAGATGTTAGTGGTGAGATAAGAGCAGCTCTGCTCTGAAGCTGTTTCCTGCTGCAGGGGCAAATTCCTCTGATAAGACGACCTCCTCGCATTGGTCTGGTCACCTGTGGGGTTCAGGCTCACCTCCTCTTTCCTGCCATCTTCCATCATATTTTCAATAAGAGCCTCCAGTTTTAGGCATTCACAGCTGCGGAGCTTGCAGGCAGCCTGGAACTGAAGGAGGTATTAATTAGCAATGCCTTAAACAGTATGAGATATTAAAAAAAAAGTAAATTAAATTTGCCAGGTCCTGCTGTGGCTAAAGGCCCTTAATGCTTGGTTCCTGTGCCTCAGCAGTAAAGGTACAAAGGGGATGGAAGCTGTGTTTCTGTCTTTGCTCCCCCTCCGTTTGTATATTTGTCTTAAAGAAAACAAGATCTAATTTCCAGAGTAGCTTTAGGCCATTTAACTGTCTTCCAAAATGGAAGTTGATAAAAATCGAAAAGACTTGACAATGGGATTTATTCCATTAAATCATCAAACCACAGAACTTGTTGACAGCCAGAGAGGCCATGGGCCAGAAATGTTGAAGTCAAAGCTGTGTTTGTTACCTTTCCATCACTCTACATCTACGTCTCTTTCTGGCTGTCCACCTGTCGTGGTTTAAGCCTGGTTGGCAGCCTAATGCCATGCAGCAGCTCTCTCTCTCCTTTCTCTTCCAGCAATAAGAAGGGACAGATGAGCCAGGCTTGTGGTTCGAGATAGGACTGGGATGGGGAAAAAATCCCCCTTTATGGTCATGAGCAAAAGGCAGACTCGTTAGGGGAAGAAAAAAGAAAACATACATTTATTACAGACACTAATAATAACACTTAACAGAGTAGGACAGTGAGAAGCATTGCCATATCTTGAGAACACCTTCCCCCCACCCCTCCCTTCTTCCCGGGCTCAGCTCTGCTCCCAATATCTCTACCTCCTCCCCCAGTGGCGCAGGGGCAGGGAATGGGGGGTGCAGTCAGCGCTGCCACTTCCCTTATCTTCGGTGGGGGGAGCTTCCAGAACTTCTTTCCCCCTGCTCCATCGTGGTCCCCCTCTCACAGCAGACAGTCCTCCACAAACTTTCTCAGACATGAGTCCCTCCTATGGGCAGCAGTGTTCCCCACACTGCTCCGTCATGGGTCACTAACTTCCTCTGACTGGATTCTCTCCCACAGCTGCAGCCCTTCCCGAGCTGCTCCGGCGTGGGACTCCCCCTCATGCTGCAATCCTCCCAGCGCTGAATTACAGTAGTGGGGCTGCCTTTTCCCACAAGACCCCGGCCTTCTTCGGGCACAGCACCTTGATCAGACGGGTGGAAGCCACAGGCCATAAATCAGTGTCTGCTCCACCGTAGATCTTCATGGGTGGCAGGGGGGGCCGCCCTGCCGTCTCCCCACAGGATACAGGGGGGTCTCTGCTCCAGCACACCTCCCCCCTCCTTTCTTCCTCCGTTCCTCCACTGACCTTGGTGTTCACGCAACTGCAGCAGCTCCTCCTCACAAGTCCCACTGCTCCTCACCACGTCCCTTCTTAAATACGTTATCGCAGAGGTGCAGCTGATGGGCTCAGTTTTGGTGCAGAGGTGGAGCTGCCTTGGAGCTGGGGGAGCTTCGAGAAGCTTCTCACAGGGGGCTGCCCCTATAGCCCCCTCCCCTGCCACCAAAAAAACTCCACCACTCACTCAGAGCCAGGATACCACCAAAGCACGGAAAAGAGTGGTGATGTGCTGACAGTCACCCAGCAGGAGAGCTGGGGTTAAAGCCTGAAGTCCATTTCCCCTGGTAAGACACGTGGTCCCCTCCTTTCTGGCCACCGCGAGGCTGGAGTCACCTCCTGGGGCTTGCCAGCTTTACCTGTGTGAAGTGGAAAGGATGCCAGACTGGAGCACAGATACAATGATTTACAGCTTCACGACCACATCTGGGCTTTTTATCTGTCCATAACAAGACGGAGATGACAGTAAAAGTGGTCAGAGTTTAAAATAGCACTTCTGTAGCACAGAAAAAAGCTAAGTTAATTCTCAACACTTGTAGTGCCTTCCAGTCTATTTGCAAACAGAATAATTTTCATTAAGCACTGTGAACTTGCTGCCTGCAGCCAGCTGGACTTTCCTCTCTGCAGAGGCGAGCCCCTTAGAGGGCCGTTGAAGCTTTTTGGAGGCAGGTTGAGCACAGGGCTCCATGGGCTTGATCTCAATAGCTACAGCGGTTCCCACTTGTTGCTGCTGAGGGACAACACGTGGGGGTGGACTCTTATTTTCTTAGCACATGGGGTGTTGTCATTAATAGTTTGTTAGACTGTGTTTGCAATGGCTTCTTGGCAACGCGTCTAGAAAAGGTAAAAACCTGGTATAAAGACTTCACAGTATTTTGGTTTATCAGACCTGATTGACACATGCAACTTCAAATTTTGTTTTGTTCTAATATTTATTTATTTATTTATTTTTCTTTGATGCTGTTGGGAGAAGCGTGGCCTAATTGTTAGGGATGCAAGACTGCTTCTCGCTCCGACTCTCACACAGTCCTTGTGTCTCCCTGAGCATGTTACTGGTTTTCTCCCTGTTCTGGAGTGCAGCTGGTGGGTAAATATAAAGTAAGATGGACTTTACTCCCCTGAGCCACAAAGATCACAAGACTTTATGGAAGAAAGGAGTACATTCAGCTTCATTTCATTTTGATTTCCACTCTCAGAAGCTGCAGGGTTCAGCCTGATTAAAAACATTTACAGTTTATTTAAATATTTATAGATATATTTATAAATGTTTATGTTTAAATGGAAGAGAAGAAAGCATGAAACTGAACAAGAAGCATGAATTGTTAGCCCACACCTTTGTGGTGCAACATTATGTGGGTGGGTGAGACTGCTGGGACAGATTGTATTTAAAAAAAAAAACAGTGTTGGGTTTGTCTGAGAGCTCTTTACTTTTTTTTTTTTTTTTTGACAACTGAATGGTTGCATTTATGGAGATATAAGTAGATTATTATTAAGGGCTAATCTAACCAAGGAATGGTAGTTTTGACGGGTGCTGCAATACCTTTGGAATGGCCCGTGCAATTTTTTGGAGCAGCGCAATCCATAGTCATTAGATCATAAAATGAATCTCCTGGCATTTTGGCAGCACAGGAGCTTACAGTACTTCAGACCTATAATCAGATACCAGAGTATAAAATGTCTCCAAAAGGCCAGCGTTTAAGATGAGGTTAACATGAGGTATGGTGACTCTGACTCTCCTCTAGCTTCCAGTTTTTCTGGGATTGAGGTTGGAGTGGAGAACCAGAGCTTGTGTTCAACATCAGCGTGTTCCTGCTGAGGCCGGATAATTATTTTTTATTCATGGTTTTCAAATGATGTGGATATGACTTTGGCATAAGTGAGGCATTAAGGCCACAGATGATGATTTGGGATGTCAGAGCGTACGTTACTCCCTATGGCATGTGACTGCAAACACCTTGCATTTGCTCTGCATCGCAAAACACCGTGTGTCCTTCCAGCACCGTCGTCTGGTGATCAAATTCACTCTCAAGTTGTCAAGGAACCAAGGGGCCTGAATAAAAATTAGATTTTTATGACAAGGTCAGCATGCCTTTAGCTTGATGGCATTCAAGAAATCAATCTGAAATCTCCCCTTTCAGCATTTTAATGAAGGGGGACGTCTGTGTGTGTAGGAACACGTTTCTGCTAATCCGCCGTGACACGTTCTGCCACTGACTCCCCGGCGGCCTTTGGAGAAGATGTGTTTTGTTGTCGTCTACAAGGAACAACAGTCGTTTGTTTATCAGCGACAACATCAATATGTATTTTCTGCAAAGATATCGTCATTTTGTAGCTAGGTGTTAAGGGTGTTAAATTGGCTGGGCCCGTAAGTAATTTAAATATTGGTTAAAAAAAGCAAGGTTGAGAGTGTGGTTGGGGTCAAACAATCATGTGAAGTTGCAGGGGACAGAAAAAGAAAGGAATGTTTGTAATAATAAGTTAGTTACACTTCTGCAATGTCTTTCACCTCAAATTCACAGAGTGCTGTGGAAAGAGTCACTGTGTGGATGGCAAGACACCCTGGGAGAGAAAATGGGTTTTCCTCAAGCAAAAGCAGCTGTTCTGCACAGCTTGCACAGTCTTGCACAGCACTAGCACCTGCCCCTTGTGATGGGAAATGGAGCTGTAGGGGACGTTAAGGGAGCAAAGGGGGTTGGAATTGGGATGGAAAGTGCCTGAACGCTGTGTCTTTCCCAAAGTGTGCATGAAGGGATTATTTAGCATGGACTTGGAAGGGAAACAAGAGCTGCCTCAAAGTGTGTTGCAGTTTGAAAAATTCAGCATTTTTCACAGCTGAAAATGAGTGGGGGAAGACAGCGAGTGCTTCCCTCTTAACCAACTGCAAGCTAATTTACATTCTGAAATTCTTGAGCTTGGAGGGAAAAAGGAAAAAAAAAAAAAACAAACCACACTAATCCCCCCTCCTTTCTTTTCATCCTTCTTTCAAAACAGAATTTAGCTGAAGTTGACTAAATTGAGAGTGCTCGCTGCCTGCCCCGCTGTGGCATCTCCTCTCTTCCAGCTAGGAAGAAAGATGTATTTGCTTGCAATTGATGACTGCAGCATGTGAGTGTGGACTTGGCTGGAAAAAAATGTGCGTGATGAGAAGATGAATAAAAAAAATATACAGGGTTTTTGCAAAATATTCGGGAAATCTTCTCACTCAAAAACTTGGAGGAAGCAGATGGTGTGTGGCAGTCTAATGAATGCACGCTCTGGTTACTGGGAAATGCTGCTCTTGGGTTTTTCTTGCTGTTGTTAAGGGCATTTCCCTATGGTTTGTCCAGAAAACATCTCACTTCAAGTATCTGGCAAAATCGCAGCTGAAAATACTCATGTTTCCAAAGCAAGATCAGGTTTTATTTAAAGTATAATACTGAGATAGTGATCCCTTTTGTTTTTTTTTTTTTTTTGTGGGACCCAGTAAATACTCAGTTATGAATATTGACTTGATGTTGGTCTAGAGGGTGTGACTTGATAAGGTGTGAGGGGAAGAGAAGCCACAGAAGACACTGGAAGATTCATTTACATTTGAAGTCTGGGGCTAATGAGCCTGAGAACCCCAAAAAGCTCATGGATGGAGTAATTTGATGATATATAAAGGTGAGTGGGAAGGAGGATGTTTGTCACTGCTTGAAACAGCATCATTTTTCTTGAATACACTGTTGGGAGGATTTTTGCTCTTTCTGTTTTTTTTTTTCCCAGTTAAGAGCACTATGGAAATGTTGGTACTTTAGGACTGACCCTCACGCCTGTGATGGCAGTGATTTGCACCAGGTAAAAATCTGACAGGTCTGGGACAGCAGAGAAACTAGGAGGCTGGGGAAGAAGGAGATACCTCTCATCCTTATGCTTTTGAGTTTGAGTGTAAAAATGAGCAAGATTATTAAAGGATTTTTGTTTTCTTCATATTTACTGGGAAAAGATGGCTCAGAGCTGGGAGAAAGCTTTTGGAATGAGGATTAGGAAGAAAGGGGGAGGAAAGAGTCGTGTTTTCTTTGTCCCACCCTCAGCCCATCCTCCCCTGAAAAATAACAAATGGATACAATAGCATGAAAACAAGTTGGAGGAGACATACTTACAGTGTGTGTCTTGGCATTGAATAATGCAGCTGACACCCACTACCACACGTCTCCTTCCAAGCATCATAACTATCTTTCTCCTCCCTGGGGAGCGCTTCCTGGAGAGCTGGCACAGTCCCCTGATCTAGGGCTTCAGAAATTTGGGTCTTGTCCTGGCTCTGTCCCAGGCTTCCTCTGGAAATATCTTATGATCTTCCTATAAAATGAAGAGATTGTCTTTTTTTTTTTTTTTTTTTTTTTTTTTTTCCCTAACCTGTCAGCTTAATAAGCAAGGTCAAGCTGATCACTGCTTGCTGTCAGAGCATAGTCTGAGGGTAACAGTGGCTCTGGTTGCTACCTCCATGCTCATAATAATAATATCAGTCTCAGACATTCTAGTGCTGAGTCAGGTTCAGCAGCACTAGAGCTTAACTTTTTAATTCTTTTCTGTAATTCAATACCCATCCTAGTCCTCTCAGAGAGAGGGAAGCCTTAGGGAGAGAGTGATGTGTACCCTACTCCCACTTGTAGCGGGGGTCTGGTCTGACTGGGCGCGCACCCGTGTTGAGAGGCAGCCCCCACTAATGTATACCTTCTCGTGGCTTGTAGTAACAGGGGCTGCCCTGCAACGTCGCCCGGGTGGTGGGAAAAGTCCAATTTCTCAGGTACCCCCGTGAATGCGGCTCTATTCATAAAGGTTTGGATACTGTGGTGGTATCTAGTTGACCCCAGCAGAGGGATCGCGATACTGTTGTGCTGCTGTTGTGGTGGTGGTGGGGAAAAGATACTTTTCTGTGTGTGCACTCCAGCCTGAGTGCAATAAATTGTAGTTTCAGATTAACTGTGTTTTAGTTTGCTCTGTTTTGGAGGCGGCTTCCATTTGTACCTGAGCTGAAGACCCCAGTGGAGAATAAAGCCCAGCTCTGGGCTGACGTGGTTTCTGGTGGACGTGCTGAAGGCAAAGCAGGGTTGGGAACAGCTGAGCAGACGCTGGGCCACATCATTCAAGGACTAGACCATAATTTGCCCTATTGTGAAAGCAGTTGTGCTACTCTGCACCAAATTACAGTGGCTGCATTTGGTATTTTCCTGGAGGCCCGGAGTCCCTGCAGTACGATGGGCTGCAGCTGTAGTCCCAGGGACTATGTGTGGCACAGGGGCTGGTGACTGCTTGGGGCCAGGACTCCTCTGAGCAAAGTGACCCAGCCTCTGTGCTAGCAGAGATTTCCACACCCCCACGAGCTGAAGAAAGCCAGAGCAGCCATTCTGCCCACCCGCTGCCCACGTGGCAGCTTGTTTCTGTGTAGTCTCGCTGCAGAGACCTGTAGCACAGGGACAGGCCTAAGCATGCTGGCCAGGCTAGTTTTAATCCAAAAATCCATTGTCCTTTGGCTCCCTAATCCATGGAAGAAATAACCAAAGGGGGCTGATGATGTCTTCTCTTCTCACACACCCTCTGTTGTCCAGTTCTGCCCCAAGGCTTCCAAGGAGGCTGAGACTCACCCTGAACCTTGTTCTTTTGCACCTACTGTCTTTTCTTTCAAATGATACCCACTAATAATGTTCAAAGGCTCTTCGGCTCTCTCACCCTCCATGGACTTTGGTCCCTCCTTGCCTGCTCCCCCCTGGCATTGTTCATTTTGTGAGTCCTGCTGCAGCTCTGGGTCATGCAATGAGGTTCTGCTCCAGCCCCAAGACAGCTTTCACCGTGTTTCTCCCGACAGCAGGAAAACTCACTCTTGCCCATTAGGAACTGTAAATAACCCCGATGACGCAGGCTTTTTATTCTCTTTACTTGTCTCTGCCTAGATGGAAGCTGTACCCCCGGGTGCTCAGGGATGTGTCGGCGATGGACCTGTCAACCTCAGTTTTGGGACAGAAAATCAGCATGCCAGTCTGCGTTGGAGCCACCGCTATGCAGCGCATGGCTCATGCCGACGGAGAGACGGCCACTGCTAAAGGTGAACCCTGCAAAGTACCCCCCGCCGTGAGCTAGAGATGAGCAGGGTAATAGTGTGCCTGCTGCCTGTGAAGCCCAGCTTGATTGCCCGCTCTTGATGCTGTGGCCAGAATGGGTTTGAGTTGCTGCTCAGAGTAATCTGGTTTATTTTCGGTTTTGTTTTTCACGGTTTTCCTCCACCTGTTTTGTGTGCGGGTTCTCCCTCGCTATGAAGCAGGGATGAGAAATGCAGTATGTAAGAAGGGAATCATTTGTAACAAATACAAAATCGAAAACTATCTATCTTTCTATACATTCTAGAAATATAACTACAGATATTGTCACGGCAACATTCTTTCTGTTACGGAACTGCTTCTAGAAATTCAGAAGCCTTTGCCTGTCTGTGAAAAATACTTGTTTTGAAGAGAGCTCTTTGAGAGCATCCCAGGGAGCCAGTGAGAATAAGGGCCCCTCTGGGTTAGATGCTGCACAAAGATGTTACCAGCATGGAGGCTGCAGCCTTAAAAGGCTGTGAGAAATGGGATGTTAACCAGAATTCAGATGTGAAATGGTTTCTTGCTCCTTTAACCCGAGCTGCAGGATGACACAAAATTTGAGAAGGAGGTCACACAGTGTGTCTGTTGCATACAAACAGCACTGGACTGTGTGTTTCAGTGTTCTAGCACTGAATGAAAAAGGAGGCAAAACCTAAATAGGCAATATTAAAACCAAACCAAAAGAAAATAATCTTGTGCATGGTTGAGGATTCATCTAGCATCCATCCAACAGTGTTTCCATGACCAATGCAGCAAATGTTAATGTGACGTGAGCCTAATTACCTGCCCTGCAGTGGGAGTTGGTCTCAGTTCTCATGAAAAAGCCACGTTGCTGTGATGTGCACCGTGATGGGCTGCAGCACAGATCCAGCAGCAATCTCTGTAAAAGCAGATTTCTGCAATTTTATAGTATGTTTGGGGATACATTTTTGGGGTTTTTTCTTTTTTTTTTTTCCTCATTCCCAAGCGATTTATTAGGAAGCCAAAGCTTTTATGCCTATTGTACGTGCGGGCATGTTCCACACGATGGAGCTCGAATACCTTGAATTGGTTTGTGAAGTGGCGTCTGGTGGGACGCCTTGATGCTGTCCCGATCTTTGGCAGCTCTTGCGGATTATTTCTGGCCCAGGTTATGTTGGAAGGAAATTCTGAAGCATTCTACTGTTAAATGCAAACATATTAATGCAATGTTAAGAGAGAGATTAGAAACACACAAAATTCAGGATGTTCCCGAGCGAAAATCCCCACTGATGTTACGGCCTGGCCACATTTTAAGGCATAAATCTGTAATTGCATGTAAAGTTGAGTGGTACAATAAGGCTGACTACCAGGGATGAGTTATGGTTGTGGTAGATAACTTAATTTTGAAATTTCCTGACTTTTGTGCGCTTACAATTTTGAACTTTAACATATGATTATTGCATTTAGTGTTCTTGGATCTTCAAGCTAGGAAATCTTGGTGTACTGGCAATGGTTTGAATGTGCGGCCAGATAAACATATCCATGGGAATTGGTAAATTTTTCATCACTTTCAAAGGAGAAAATCACACCCTCTGTATTGCATTAGTGTTTCTTGTAGAAAAAAAACGGCCTTGGGTTTGTGTTCTGTTAGAGGTGGAGTGGGGCATTCAGTGCCAAGGTTTTCGTTTGACCTTATAAGATGACAGGGATTAGCTGTAAAGTACTCCTTTGGCTTAAAGGTTCCCTTAAACTTGGGACATTTGGGATCAGGGGGTTTGATACATCCAACTTCTGTTAAACTCTGAGATACCTCCAAAATATAAGTGAGCAGATTGTTGGTTGCTTTAAATCCGCTTTTGTTTCAGCTGCATCGATTTACGCAAGCCAAGAAAGTCTGATCCAAAGCCTTGTGGCTTTTGCAAAGCCTGGCATACTTTGTAAACTTAACTTTTGGCTCAGGTGCATAGGATGCCACTTACGGGGTGGTGCCTCTGCTGTTGGGACAACCCTTGAGAAGCACGGTGTGGGAAGTGGTGGGGTGTGCCTGGCTCGTGTCGGGGGGCATGGCAGCTGCCCAAGGCAGCACCCATGTGTGCGGGCACCGCTCAGCAGCGCCACAAACCCCTCCTCTGCCTGGTCGGGGTTCAACCCCAAGACATAGTCTTGAGTTCACACCATCCTTACCTGCAGAGCAGGGTGGTGCAGGTAACAGTAGCAACTCCTTCCCCTCCCTTTTTGTATTTTGAGCGCAATGTTGGGTCCTGCCAAGGAATTCCCTTGAGACATCATTTTGCTCTTCCAGCAGGTTTGCCCTCACGTCGTAAATGTCTTCTCTAGGGAACAAGGGCATGTCATGGTGTCTCTTGTTGGGTAAAACTCCCTGCCCTCCCAACCCCTTGCTTTGGGGCTTCTCAGAGTTTTGGGAGCTGCTGCTGCTCCTCAAGGGATGCTCTCATACAGCAACCAAGCTGGTGGAAATGAGCATGTGTCTTACCCAAAATAGGTCAAAGTCTGGCAGCTTGCCTGAAACACACCTTCATTGTCAATCCTGTTTCAATAATAAAGGATTTTTTTTTTGGAGAAAGGTTCAATTGTAACTTTAAAAGTTGCTGGTGACAGGCCATCTGACACAACGTAAGTTATTCCAAAGGTTAACTAACCCCACTCTGAGCAGAATAAGCTATAATCATGGTCAAAACTTGTACAGCTTCAAATCCAGATGTTGGATTTACTTACACTTCTGTTAGCTAGACTTTAAAAATAAATAAAAATATATATATTTAAAATAAATAAAAAAAATTGTCCATATAGGCTGCAATAAGGTTGCTCCTCAGTTTCCTCTGATATGTCTAAATGGACCTGGAGTCCTTCCTTATAGAGAAAGCCGTCTTGTCCTTGAAACATTTTCATGGACCTTGGCAGTTGTCCCAGTTTTCCCAGGTCTTTCTTCAAGTATGTTCCCTAGCATTTTAGTTGTAGTTCACCAGTGTATGTGGCCGTTTTCCAAATAATGGATTTTTCTGTTCAGTAGAAACCGAAAAATTGGGAGGAAAATTGTTTTGGATTAACTGAAATGTTTAATTTGATCCAAACCAGAATGTTTTATTTCATTTTCCTACTAGCTAATGTTTTTAGCCATAGTTCTGTTTTGAAACAAAAGTGTTAGCTCAGAAGAAAACATTTCCATTTTGAAAATATCAACGCATGACATTTTGACTTAGGTGAATTTTTCTCATCTTTCCTACTCCAATTTCAACCTCCTTCACTAAAAATATTTGCCAAATTTGATGAATAATCGTAGCCACCATTAAAGAGCAAAAGGCTCTTCTCTAAATACTTTTTAACAGAACTTTTCTGGTTCTACATGATTTTTTTTCTTCTGCTTGTCCACCAGAAGATTCACTATTCCTTCATGCCAAGACATTCATTTGCCATCCTGACCTCAGGCTGTGCTTGCAAACCAGCATGATCCCCGTGCTGTTTCCCTGACAGCACAGCACTACTGGTGCTCATGTAAATAGGACCCACTTTCAAGTACATTGAAACAAAATCTCGTGCACCATCCAGCTGCTGAGTAAGAAATAACAATTTTTTGAAACCTTAATTGATCCTAAACAGATATGTAGCATTGTTTTATTGAGGTTTCTATTCTGTTTATACTTCTGCTCTCTTACTGGCCAATTACCTTACATTCTCTTGTTTTAGCCCAGAATGGGTATTGCAATACCTGACTTTTCTGACTGGTTGAAAGTCAGACTGAACAGCTTGACTGTTTTCTTACCCAGATCTTTTGAAAACTTTGAATGCTAGTTGTTCAGATCTGATGAGTTTATGTTTACCCTCTGCAATTGCTCTCAAACAACTTCCTGGGTTACTGCTGACGCAAGAAGGGTTTCACCATCACCTGCGATGTGACTGAACCGTTTGCTTTGCCAAATAGAGAATAGGAACATTGACTGAAAAGATATTTTTTTTCTCCCTTGTTGTAGCTGAGTTACTGGCAGCAATATCATTTCCACTAGGGAGGGAGCAACACCTTGGTTCCTCCAGCTCTTAACAGACTTCTGTCATGCTATTTGTTTGTTTTGATGCTGCTGAGCATCTTCTGAATTCAGGTTCCTTGTGCTCATCAGACATGCCCATCATTGTGAAGGAGGGATTTCACAATTGTTGCTTTTTATGCTCAGCCACAGTGAAAATAACAGGACTTTGTACCCATCTTTTACCTGTTACCTATGTGGTGTTCCAAAAAAAAAAAAAAAAAAAAAAAAAGATATGTTACTTTTGAGGTATGGCTGCTCCAGAGTCACTGAGAGGACAATATTCATGCAGGACAACATCAACATGGCCTGGACTGACCTGGCCATGACTCCCCCCCCCCTCGCAGACTGGCACGGCCAGGGGACTTTCTGGTGTAAGTATGGGCAGGCAATGTGGCATGACAGCCCTCCTAGACCAGCCAGACCCATTTTGGCCACGTGTATTTTTCCCTGCCGCTTCCAGTCTTCCTGCACAGCTGACAAAATGCGTTGTGTCAACAAAATTATCGTAGGCACAATTCGTACGCAGCGTTTTGTAAGTGGTAAATGAGGTAAGGCTGGGCAGGGGATTTCTCAGCCAAGTGTGTTTTGTCAAGAGAGTAATGTTAAGTACTTTAAACAATTCTGTTTCTTAGGAGATGCAGCTCCAAGAACATAGCTACTTCTCTTGAGAAATACCACCCTGCAAAAAGGACACTGTGTTGATCTCAAGTAATGTCCTCTGCCCCCTAAACTGGGGACACTGGATTCACTGGTGGATTCGGGGAAAAATGACCACATTGCTGTAGTTTGGCTGCCGTGCTTCAGAGATGCCCCTAAAAGGGAAACAATGGGAATTTGCACAGCTAGTGAAAAATAGCAAGTTCCTATTCCCATACAAGGTAACCCTAACAAAATATACAAGCTTCTACTGGGCTCTTCTCCAGTGTCCTCCCGTGAAGTATCTTGCCCCTGGGTTGCCCACAGGGTCAAACTCCATACCCTTCCCAAACCACTTAATGAAGTGATGTCCCATCAGAGTGGGGAAGGAGACTCTGAGGTTTCAGGATGAAAAAGGGGCTAAAAACTGCTACTGCTCTGTTCTCTTGCGGACTTCTTGAGTGGGTCCTGTCCCATGGTCAGCCTCAGTTTGTTGCTATGTAAAATACTTCACCTGAGTTCCCCATGAATGAGGAAAGCCCCATTTTACAGAGGTTTATGCCCCTTGGTGAGGAGGTATGTCCTTGCTTGTGGCTTCCCCGGGCTAAGTACAAGCAGGTAACGGTGGGGCTGAGAACCTTGTAAACATTCAAAGCATCTGTGGAGCAAAGGCTGTGATGTTTCCTAGGCACCCCACTGTACCCCCAATTCTAGTTGCATTTGGCCCTGAAACAAGGTGGAGTACAAACAAGGCTTTAATGTCCTGGTATCAAAATTCCCCAGGCTCCTGTGTGTGGCTGATGCCGTGCTCTCTGCACTGTCAGTGACCTCGATGGCAGTGTGTACAAAGGTAAATGTAGGCTTTGGGCAATGCTCAGGATTACAAGAAGACCTGGGGAAAAAAAAAAAAATACTAAAAGCAATCTGAAATGGCATGAGGAAAGGCTGGTTTACAAAAATCTGATGTTTAAACTCTGGCAAATGTCACATGTTGCTGCAAGAGTGTCCTGTGGGAATATGGATCTAGTAGTACTGATTTGTAATAATAAATAGAGGTATGTGCAGCACCCCAAAATTGAAGTGTAAAATATACTTGTTGGAGGAAATGAACTGCTTCTGTTTTCTTCAACTGCAGTTAAATGTGCAAGAAGTGGGAGTATATTTTTAGCAAACCCTGATTTGAGGTAGGAAAAAAAAAAAAAAAAAAAAAGAAACCTGGAAACACTTCAGGACTATGTATCATATCATTTTGAATGTCTAGAAAATTGTCAAATTAAGCTTTAAAATGGTGAAGATAAAGCACAGATCAACCAAAACAGGAACTTGGAATCTCTAAAACTTTGAAAAATTTTGTGTGTGTGAGCTTTGCTTTTGACCATGCAGATCTAAAATACAGGTGTTCAGCTGGTGCTTTACTAAAGAGTTCTTCACTTTACAGGGCAGAAGAGGGGAACTTTGTGAGTATGCCTTCATGGAAATGTTGTAACCCGGTTTGGGGGAGTTGAACTCTGATTGAAGCAAACTGTTTAAATCTAATCTTAAATAAGATGAAAGCACTATTTTCTCTATTGCTATGTATGCAGATAAGTTGAAAGGATATGGTGGTATTTTGTGTTTTAAATCTTCTATTCACAAAATATATTTTATTGTGCAGTTTAATTTTATTTTTTACTTTTGCAACTATTCTTGTGTCCGTAGGGCTGTAGAGGTAGGCTAGAGAGTGAAACAAAGAATGGAAATAAATGGATACCTAAAGCCAGATTGAACCATAACATTTACATTTTTCCCTTATCTGATCTGAGGGTTTTGCAATTGCTGGGTTAGCAACTCTCCCTCTCATTCATGAACTTGTGTCTGACAGAGCACCAGGGCTGTGGATCCCTTGTTTCTTATCATCATTTATTGGACTTGATTTGGCAAATCACTATGGCATTTGTGATAACCCACCACAGCTGATTTTAACAAGAATTTAGACATTCAGTATTCACGGGTTCTTCAGAAGAAACTAATTTCTAGGCACTTAATCTCTGAAAGAAAATTATTTTCAGTAATTTTAAGGGGAGAAATGAAATGGCTACAATGCAGAGAGTTTTGGGTCATTGCTACTGTACTTCCAATGATTGAAAGCTGCCTGGTGGCCCTGGGAGGGTGTGACCAATTTGTTTGAATAAGCTGTTCATAAGTTTTCCACTCTTAGAGACTTGTAATCCTTATTTAATAAAATGTTGTCATAAAGACCACTTTTTAATTCCTCGATGGGCTGGAGATGACGTTTTTGAAACAGAGGTCCATTTACATTAAAAATATGCATACTGCGGTAGACCAAGAAAAATAAGGCTTTATATAATATCTTTGAGTTTTACAGTGTGTTTTCCTTTATTTTACATTAAGTGACAGATTACTCCAAAAAGAATAAGTGATAGATTCATAAAAGTATAATTGTATGAGGTTAGCTGGTTTGTAGTGCAGCCCGGGTTGGAAATCACCCCCGGGAGGACAGCAGGCACAGAGCCTCCGGCTGCTTGATCCCATCTGGGATTGTTCAGTGACATTTCACTTTGGGGCTGCCCACACCTCGGGGGTGATTTCTTTCCACAGCTTTTTGAAGGTAAAGGAGGAGAGGCCAAAACCACATTGGGTATGGGCACCCATCCCTTTGGCCTCAGTGGAGACTTTGGACACCACTTGTCTGTTGTACCTGCTCATCTTTGTATTTACTTTTGGGGTGTTCTGGGTGGGGACTGTCGCTTGGGATGTGTTTCTGACACTCTCAGTGAGATCAGAACTTCTACTTTTTCTCGGTAGAAGTGTCAAGCTTTATGCTTGGGATCACACAATGGATGTGGGGTTCCTCTCCTTCAGGCCATGAGACAGGCAGCCAAAGAGTTCAAGCACAGAACAGTGGAGCTTCCCTCTCAAGTCTTTAATAGAGGTTGTCTGCTGCACTGTGTCCTTCTGGTTTATTACCCCCAAAGTACTCTGTAAGGGATGACAACAGGCATTTACTAGAAGAGCACTTCAAGAAACATAGGTTTAATGCTAGTGAACATTCTGGGGGTGGGAGAAAGCAGCCAAAATGCCATGATCAAAATGCTCAAGGGAGTGTGCGTGGCAGTGGTGAGGAGGACTGAAGAGCAATGCTGAGAACGACAGACCCAAACCACCATTCTACAGCAGTGTGGCAGTGTTCAAAAAGTTGGAAGCCTTTAATGTATCTGTTTGTTTGTTTGTTTTGTTTTAGATTGTTTAAATCTGTGCATGTGTGCGTATGACCTTAGATGCATGTGCCAACATTTCTGACAAGTGGTAGCCAGACGCTGGGGGCTTACAAACAGGCTTCCCACAGGATAAAGATTTATTAGTATGGGTTAGGCATAGTTTGATTATAATATCTTTTTATTTCCAGTATTGGATGAGGGCTCATCCCAAATAGTGTGTAGACAGCAGTCACCAGAAATTTTTCTATAAACACAGAGAATAAGCCAGAGAGCACTCGCAATGCCCCACTGCTGTAACTGCTATAGCATAGCATTCCCTGGAAGGCTGAAAAGGCGTTAGCACTGAGGGAAGGCAGTATGGAGTTACGTGCACTGACACACTCTGGTGAGCCAACTGCTCCTGTTTAGAGAAGTCTCTGGTTTGGATAATCTCAAATATACTCTTGTGTTCCTCCAGCCTGCCAGACAATGGGGACAGGGATGATGCTGAGCTCCTGGGCCACATCTTCCATTGAAGAAGTGGCTGAAGCAGCTCCAGCTGGCCTTCACTGGCTGCAGCTTTACGTGTACAAGGACCGGGAGGTTACCAGATCCCTCGTGAGGCGTGCGGAGAGAGCGGGCTACAAAGGGATCTTCGTGACGGTGGACACGCCGTACCTCGGCAGGCGCATCGACGACGTGCGCAACAAGTTCCAGCTTCCTCCCCACCTCAGGTAGATGCCCGCTGGTGGGATGGGGGGGGGGGGGGGGGTTGTGCAGCAGTGCCGTGGTCACCACGAAGTGCTGTGAGAGACTTCTGTCTCTGACACGAGGAATTTCTTCTAGGTCCCGCACGCTGCACGGGGCCATAAAGCTGAGGAACTGAGCACATATTTCTTGCTGTGCTTGGGCTACGATCTGCTTTGGGTCAAAACTAAGCTTTCTCAGCTCTTTGCAGACTGTGAAGGACACTGTGTGCCAGGCAACATGAGGCTCCAGACGGATGAAGTTAGAGAGGTGGGGCCTTTCTTTGTACATCTGACAATATATCCTTGGATGTCTTCAAAACTCAGCTGGACGCAGCCCTGTGCAACCTGCTCTGCCTTTGCACACGGCCCCAGCTGCAGAGCTGGCTGTGCTCTGAACGGGGGCCTGGACTAGGTGGACCAAAGCTCCCTCCTTCCAACCGATGTTATGGTCCCGTCTATGTTATCCCAAGACACTCCACTGGGTCCAGGGTCGTGTTGCTACTGACCACAGAGCCCTTTTCCACACAACTTTGACTCTTCTTTTACTCAAATACAGAAACACACAAGTATCAGTCTTTCTAAATTCTCCATTAGGGCAATTTCTACTTCCGTGTTTGTTTTGGGACATTTTCTGTATCTCAGAAGAATTTGTGGCCTCATGATTGACTTCAGCACCAATCCTAGTTCCTTCCTACTGCAGAGCCTATGCAGCATTTAATTTTAACAGAGATATCCAGTGGTGGTGTAAGGGCATTGATTTCACTAGCTCTTGGAAATATAAACTGGTAGACTCCAGAGACCATCCTGATAATAAGCATATGCTGAAGTGCTGGCACAGTGTTAGCAGCCAAGGACTGCCTGGAAGAGTATTTAGTGGATGTGGTATCCAGAACTTAGGTTTGCAAAATGGAGGTAAAAATCTTGTGAGTAGATCTTGGTAGTGACCATAGTCTGTCATGGCATGTATTAAGACTACCATGTTTGCTCTTCTTTAGAGCCTGGAAATTAACACAAAAATGAGGGGGAAAAAAAAAAAAAAAAAAAAAAAAAAAGAGAAAAGAAGTGTAGCTGAATGAATTTTGAAGCAGATTAACTTTGATTTGAGTTCTGGGTAAAAGCTAGTTTTGAATATTATCAGTGCATCTGAAGTGTTCTTCCTCTGTCTCCTAAGACTATTATGCCATACTATGTCCATACCACATGTAACATGTACATAGCAAGAAATAGAATATCACATCTTGAGGTCTTTCTTCTTTTTCATCATATTCAAATTGAAGGTAAGCCATGGGACTGTGCAATTAATCTGATTCTTCACCTCTCAGGCAAAATAACCTCTAGGGCTCGGAGTGTTTGATCTCCCCCATACACTTTTATTTGAAGCTAATAGATGATATGATGAAGGTTGACAGATCAACCTTAACTCTGCCCATGATTTAAAGTACAATTTTATGAAGAAAGCACCAGAAAACTCTGTATACTGCCCTGTATATCAATCCTGCTATAGAGATGTGATTGACAAAATATTATCAATACATACTGTTAATTTATCTAAAAATAAAAATTCTTTTAAATAGCTTTTTTTTTTTTTTTTTTTTTTCTTTTTTAGGGATAGTAACATTTTAGAGCCTGGGGTTAAAGAGTTTTTGAATGTGAGTCAAATAAACCAAAAATATTTGAGGAAAGCGATAGAGCATTTCTGAAACACTTTGACCCCACCTGACCAAACTGTAACAAGTCTTTGAGCGAACCATATGAAATAATACAAAGTTACAATAATCTTAAAGGTTCAAATTAATCATTTCAGATTTCAGAATGACACTTGGACAGTGTTTTGTTGAAGAGTCAGTGGTGAAACTCTCCTAGCGCCGAGCTCTGCTCAGTTATGTGATAACTTTTTCTTGGCTTCAAGTTTTCAACAAAGTTTCAAAGCAACAACAAGGTGGCATTGTGCTCAGAAATGTATGTAAGGCAACATTCATTCAAGTGTTGATCTGCATTTCACTGGCCAAGAAAAACAACAGTTATTTATATAATCTTATCCATGGTTCTGTTTTTCTCTGGGTACCCCACCCTCCACAAACCAACAGCTGAAAGGCTGGATCTTGCTGAGAGCCTGCTCCTTTCTCATTTTCTTCTGGGCTTGGAACTGAACAAAAAAGCCATGTGAAATGCTGCTTGTTGCAGGCATGAAATGAACAGTGAAACAAGCCGGTTTCTGTGCAAAAAACCCCAGTGCATTTCCCAAAATGTGAAATATGAGTAAAAAATAGTGCCATGTGGAATGCGACGCAGTTTCCGAAGAACAGAGCAATCAGCTTCGTGCGGGACGTGGGTATCCTTGGTGGTACTGGTGTCGCCCATGGTGGTTTAATGCCTGTGAGCACTCGGGGCTGCTTCAACTTTCTGATACAAGCACAGCCTGAATTTCTCTATTTGCCCTCCTCTCCCCTTCCCCTGATTTGTCTAGTAAGTCTGTGAACTCTTCAGTTCAGGGGCTGTCACTTACGATTCAGTTCCTAGAACCTGTGAGATTGTTTTGGTGCTAAAGAACAAACAATGGCTAATGTTTTCATATGAACTTACTTCTCCCCCCAGCCTTACATATTACAAGGAGACATACAAAAAAAAGACACAAGGTGAACTGGCTTCATGTTGGTCTTGTGGGACAGATGCAAATTCTGAATTCTTTGCAAGGTTTCATTCAGGTCAATCTAACACACTGAGCTTAACAACATTTCACTTCTTTCTTCTCCCCTGCCAATTACATGATTCCCTATTCCTCCAGTATCTGAATTCCCTGGGTTTGAGAGAGGGAAAAAAAAAAAAAAAAGCAAACCTAAACCCAAATTTGCTGCGTGATAGCTAAGGGGATTTTTGCTGTTAAGTAAAGGTACATCTCTTGACTTTAGTGGGTCCTGGGTTGGGTCAAGCAAGACTGATGCTCTCTTCTCACATCCAACCTGTACCACTCTAGGGTCTGAAAGTCCCACAGCCTCAGATGCATTTAACCTCACAGTGCTGCTGGCAGATACTGCTGTTCCTATTTTATGGTGGAAAAGTGAGGCAAAAGGAGTGGTGAAGTGTTGTGTCCGAAGTCACATGGGAGGTCTATGGAAGGACAGATGCTTGAGCCCAAATTAGTGGTCTCACTGCTGGGTTCTCCTCCTGATTAAGGATTTGATGCTGAACATTTAGATTTTGGAGTTTTTCCAATTTATTTTGAAATAACTAGGACTGTTGACTTGGGCCAGAGAAAGTTGCACCAATGTTATCAAATGCTTTGCCAGCCAAAGGGTTTGGCTTGCTAAGGACTGAGATCTGACATGCTGGGATAGGCTTTTTTGCTCCTGCCCTGCAGTACAGCAAAGACTTAACACAGTTATATCGACTGCTGGCATTTGGGACTGATTCATGGCTACAATGAATCTTTCTTGGACTATTTCTTTATGTCTTTTTGTTGTTTTAGATTAAAAAACTTCTCGAGCAGTGACCTGGCATTCTCCTCAGGGAAAGACTTTGGCGAAAATAGCGGACTGGCTGTGTATGTAGCTGAGGCGATTGATGCAAGCGTCAACTGGGAGGACATCAAATGGCTTCGAGGGCTGACCTCACTGCCCATCGTCGCGAAAGGAATCCTCAGGGGTGTGTAGCTCTGCCGCTTCCCCTGGGGGAGGTGAGGCGTCTGTTCTCGCAGAGGCACCAGGGAAAGAAAAGGGCTTGTGCTGGGGAAACTTCTGTAGTATTGCATAGAATTGCATTACTTTGGGACAGCAAGCATCTGCTTCGCTGCTATGGAACGGGGTGGGATGCACGTGCATGTTTCTGCGGTGTGCTAGGCAGGGAAGATTTGCCAAAACAGAGCCAAAAACAATCAAAGGGAAATCAAACCTTCTCTTTGTGCATGGTTAGGAACCCAGCAACCAAGACACTTGCAGAAGCAGCTGCTTAAATAAGTACCTGGAGCTGCCAGGTGGTTTGTGTGGCTGTGCTGCAAGGGGAGTTTACCCTGATGTTGGGTAGGTAGGAATCAGAGCCGCTGGACACGAGTCAGCTGGGAGGCTTGGGTCGCAGCAGTTAGAGCTGAAATCAGACGCAGCCAGGGAGGCTGGACCTGCTCTGTTCCTTGTGCCTGTAAAGGCTAACTCTCATCCGAGTTGTACGCTACTTAAAGGAAAGCTGGATTTCCATCCTGTCAGAAGAGCACTGAGCACAGTGAAGTGGTGTCATTAAGTACGGATTATTACTGTAATCATGCCGATAATCTTGGCTTGGAGAAAATCATTTAGCAAAATAATTTCTTAGTGATGAGCTGTGGGATGTGGTGGAGAAAATAAAGGCTAGCAACCAAAGTGGCTGCTAATCCAAAGTGGTAAAATGCTCTGCTCCAAAATTTCAAATTACTTTTCTGGTCTTATTGCTTAAAGATAAAACTTTTTTCTGTGTTGAGGTGGGGCTTTGGAAGGATGAAGCCTTAAGGTGGTTTTGCATTAACTGGTAATGTTTTTTTTAGTGATGCCAAAATTGCCTTCATCATGGTGTCAATAAGCTCCCAGTTATGGGAGGGTGTATCCTGTATATTTTTATTTTATTTTATTTTATTTTTTTCTTCCTAGCTGATGATGCTAAAGAAGCTGTAAAGATTGGGGTAAATGGTATCCTGGTGTCAAATCATGGAGCACGACAGCTTGATGGGGTCCCTGCAACAGTAAGTATGGGTACCAATATGCACCACTAGTCTGGTTTTCTCTACCTTTTGGCTTCTTGTTTGCTTCCTCTGAAGACATGGCAGCTGGACGAAAAACCTGTAAATGAGTGTGTTATATGCCTTAACCCATGAGCAGTAATCTCTCTCCACTCCTCTATGTATGTCACATCATACTCTGAGTTAGACACAGCTTTCCCTTAGTCAGATCAAACAAAAAGCAGAGGAGGGTTTATGTGTGCCTGTTTTTTTCAAGCTACCTGGGCACTCTGTCCTTGGCTGCAGCACCCTGCATGGAAATCAAGGAGAGCAATTTCAGATAGCATATTGTTGTCAGTTAAATGTTTAGAAATTGTAAAGTCTTTAAGAAATTTTTTCCAGTCTTCTCTTTTATTTCTCCCTTCTCATCCTTTTTTTTTGGAAACCCCCCTGTTGCCATTTGCAGTTCACTGAAGGTTGTACTAGAGTTGTTTTTCCCTTTTAATATTCTTCAGAGAGTTCTGAAAAATTAGAGTTGCAGAACAGCTACAGGCAGAATGAAACTCTCCGTTTTTCTCCTTTCAAACATTTTCACCTTTGGAAAAGGTACAGAGTGTTTAAATTACACTTTTTTTTCCTTTTTCCTTTTCCTTGTCGTGCTACCCTGCGCCTTTTCCAAAGTTGAAAGGGATTTGAGAAGTTCTCAACTGGCAAAAAGAAAGAAGTAAAGGAAAATGAAAAAGTATGTGTTCAGGCTGAAGGAAACCCCCCAAAATTCCAGTCATCACTCATCTTGCTTCATTTGGTGTGGGAAAGCTGTGCAAGTAAAAAGAGAATGAAAGGGAGGAGAATCAAAGCCCAGTTGTGACTGTTTCACTATTCCTAATGTGTCCCTGATGATAAACCTCCTGTTTTCCATGATGAGTCTCTGAAAGGAGAGGGGGACAGGTAAGCCTTCTTCCACTGCAGAGCTCCTTACCTGCTGAACTCTGCCGTCCCACCGGCATGTCCCCCCGTCCCCTGGAGCACTTCTGCTCTCTGTTCCTCTCCTCAGGGGCAGGCAAGGATTTCCCCAGCCGAGTTCGTTTACCCACTGATTTTCTGAGGCCTTTACATGGCTTCATTGGTCTCCTGGTTGTGTTGGTTGGTCCTTCACCAGTTGAGCCCTGCCCTGGTGAGCCGAGTACCAGCACAGATGGTTTTCTAAATGAAGTCGAGGAATTATTCTCTGAGATGCTCTTGCCTGACTGTCTCCAGGTATTCCCGGGGACTGGTAGGAAGAAGAGCACCTGATGTCAGGATTTCTCCAGTTTCAAAAGAGAAACTGAGAGTTTTCTTTTTCCAATGTGATTTTGTGCTGTTGGAGAGTGTGCATCCACCCAGTTTTAGACACCTTAAGGGGAACTGAATTTTCAGAGTGTGGCTGCCTAATACTTCCGAAATAAATTTTATTTCTGTCCTCTTTATCTTCTTGTCACCTTTTGAGAATGTATTCCTCAATCTCAGTAAGAGTATTTGAAAATATTGGGCAAGTCTGTGTGAGGTGATCCAACAAGAAGAATGTATGAAAGTATTGAAATCATCATTCTGAGAAATGAGAAAGCTCAAGAACTATGAATTAATTTTTTTACTAACCACGGTAGTACAGAAATTAAAGTTGCAAACTACTTGTTATGAGTTATTCCTTTGCAACACCACAGTACAGAGGAGAAGGCACTAGAAGCTGATGTATTCACTGGATTTCATCGTACAAAGAACTGCATTTCATAATGCAGTTTTCATAACATAAATATCTGTGTCGGATCATGCTAAATGTTTCTGTTTTAGAAACATAATAATTTGCTTTAATTTCATGGGTTTTCAGAACGTGAGCTGAACCCTAGCTGGTTAATATTTCTAGAGTCTAGTTACACACTGAGGAAATCTATGTTTTAATTATGGTTTGCATCATACTTTAGTTATTATAGCACTTCAGTGTTGGTACAGTTTGTCAGGATGTAGAAAGCGGTCTCTGTATATGGAAATAGATCCAAAATATGTTTGGCAAGAGAGCAAAACCAAAGAGAGGGGAAAAAATCAAAGCAAGTGCCAAACTTCAAGAAAATTTTAATCCAAATCTAAAAACAAACTGTACTTTCAAGTTTTTCCCCCATCTCCTCGTCATTTTTTATCCATTAGAAAGGAAATGAATTACATCCGTATTTGAAAGATATGAATTCGTGTGCCTTTTGTCTTACTACCACACACTGTTTCCAGTCTCCTTAGTACTTGGCTTCCAGTTTTGTGCCTTTCCTGATTTTCATGAATAGAAACTATTTAGGCATTATAGGAATGATTGTTCTGTAATTAATGTTTGAGGCTTGAATTCAGGGGGCTCATCTGATCTCTTTGTTGGGACCTCCTGCATGGTGTGGACATGTTACTTAACTCCCCGGTGTTACTTACTTGTAACTTAGGAACAGTAAAACCCTTTTCCCTCTTACCTTTATCACTGGTGTAGGGGATAATTAGAGCTTTGTAAAAGTAACATGTACATGCACTAAAAGAAAACATTTCCCATGTTAATCAAAACTTGGAGGAAAGCTGATTTTTTTCCCATAGGAAGCTGTTTCCTCTACAATTATTCATGTAATCAGGATGCATTTTTCAAAAGGAAAAAAAATATAAATTAAAATGTCTGCCTCTGGACTCCTGGATGCTAACTGGCCCTTAGTATAAAAGAATTATAAATTCAAACAAGAAGCAGAAGATGGTTATTTAAAAAGTGACAGCGATTCAATTTCATCCCCAAACCAGTGAATACTGGAAGTTTTGGGGGGGTATTATCAAGGAAAGGCTTCCTCTGTGCTTGCTGTTTCTTATATTTTTTCAGAAGTATCTGATAGTGGCTTCTGTCGGATACATGTGATGGAATCAGATGGCCGTTTTGTGTGGTCCTGCTGATTCTTATTCTATTTATGTGACTCTCCAAATACATTTGACCTTTTTATGTATCTGCTAACATGCTAAGTCACTGTTGTTTTTCAATACAAAGCTGTGTAATTTGTGCATACACTTAGGCATGTGATTGCTCAATTAGCTGCTTTAAAGCTTGGATCCTATATGTAAGAATTCATTCAAAAAATAAATAGGGTTACAGAAACAGACAAGTTGTATTCCTGGTTTCACTCTTGTAGATTGATGTCTTGCCTGAAATTGTTGAGGCTGTGGAGGGGAAGGCAGAGGTGTTCCTAGATGGTGGTGTAAGAAAAGGCACAGACATTCTCAAAGCATTAGCTCTTGGTGCCAGAGCTGTATTCATCGGAAGACCTCTCATCTGGGGCTTGGTTTATCAAGTAAGTTACAAAAAAAGCTCAAATTTCTCTTTTTAGATACTTAGACTCACTGCTTAGGCTTAGTGTATGCGTGTATGTGTACATGTGTGCACACAGGGGTGTGTGTGAAGGTATCTGAGTGTGCCTGTATGTATCCAGACCATCTAATCTAAAATTTGCGATGACAAGTACTCGGGAGTTATGGCTGTGCTTAGAACTTTGTTGGCACATGTGTACGTCTGTGTCTACACACATGAGCTATATGTACACATAATAGTACATATTGTCTCCTGATCTCCCAGGGTGAAGAAGGAGCAAAAGAGGTTCTCCAGATGCTGAAGGAAGAGTTTCGCCTGGCAATGGCACTGACAGGTGAGACATCAACGTTTCTTTTTAGCAATAGCCACCTCTGTCTCGCATTTCCTCATAGCTTTCATTTGCTCTTGGCAATATGTTATTGTAACCTAGAGAAGGGAGATGGAAATGTTTGCAATATAAACAGATTAGGCTATGGAGAGAAGGGAAAAGGATTTGTTGTTATCCCTGTCTTATAGATAGGGAACTGAGTAGATGAAATAAAAATAAGTAAAAATGTTTTCTGCAAGGAGAATAAATCAGTAGAAAAGTAATGGCAAATATTTGGTCACTAAGGGGTGGATTTTATCTGACAGAATGTAGATTTCTATGGGATAGAAAAAGAAAAGACTTAGAATGGGATAGAAAATCCAGTCTTTCAACTAATGTGTAACTTTTCCTCCAGGATGCCGGAGAGTAGAAGAAATTGGCAGGACACTGATACGAAGACCTCAAGTACTGTTTTCCAGGATTTAAGTCTAAAGGCTATTGCCTCATGTGTTTCAGGCTGTACAAAAGAGTGCTACCAGACAAAAAGCAATTGCGTTTGCTCTCTGGGCCTCATCCTGCAGTCCTGACTGGGAAGGGGTGATCTGTAGGAGATCACATTTTGAAGAAAATACTTGAATCAAACTTTATAGGTGTTCCCATATTCTCCTGGGCTCTTAAGGAAAGCTGCTCTACTGGGAATTGTGATTAGAGATGGGCTTTTATACAAGACCAACATAAAAACTTGGAGGGGTTTTGCAACAAATGCTAATGTTACCTTAGGTGCCTGGAAGTTGCTTAGCTGTTGAGATGAAACTATGAACAGAAATGTTTTGATAGCAAACAGCTATCAAAATTCAGAAATTTAAAATCTAAAAGATACTTCTTGCTCACTGTTTAGAGAAAGCGCATTGTACTTCACAGAGATTAAATCTTGCTTTCTTATGAACATAGTGCCATTTCCCTAGCAACTATGTGTTATTCCTTTATAAGCATGTGGGCTTGTAGCATGTAGCTCAGGGGACTCATATTTGTAAAGAAATGAACAGAAAAGAGAAATTGGGGAAGTTCTGCTGTTTAAGTGACACAAACCCCTTTGTAATCAGACAACCACTGTATGTGTGCATCAGGTATAGGTCAGATCCTTGCCTGTGTAAATCCTTGTAGCTCTGTTGCCTTCACCAAACTGCTGACTGCACCCAACTGGAGCCCTGAGTCACATTTTTCACCTGGATTCATTTGCTGACAGTGGCAAGTGAAGGCTGATGCTACCTGGGAGACTTTGTAGGATTTGCAGAAATGTGCAAAAGAAAAACTTGAATAACTGAGGTATTAACCCATGAATTGGGAAGATCATAGTAGCTCTATTCAGCTTCCATGAACACCTTTCAGACAGATAAATCTTAATGTTATTCACTCTGCTTATGATGAGGATACAGAGACATACAGGATCTGTTCCTCTAATTTATGAACAATCCAAATACCCACTGAATTCAGGAGAAATTTTGTAACTGTAAAGAACAAAGGAATAGCTTCATACTACAAAGTGACCTTTCCCAAAATGAGCAGGCAGTGGAGGTAAATCTCTACTGATCTCATCTTGGATAAAATTAAGGGTGACTCTTCATCTGTCTCGCTTCTGTTGCAGGTATAGCAATGTTCCTGGGAGCAGGGAGAGGCCACTGTAGAAAAGTTTTGAAAATCTTGGGGAAATTTAGTGTTCATTTTTAAGGAGGATTTAAAAAAAAAAAAAAAAAAAAAGCCTTGATTTCATTGTTCCACTGTTACTGACATCACTGACTCCACCATTTGTTTCCCATCAGTGTCAGAAGGACTCATGCATTCTGACTCTCCCCTTTTGCTCTGTTTGAAATATCCCTTACTGAGCTTTAGAGGCACATTTGTAATAAAATGATGGAATATTACAATGTGAACTAAAGCTGGGACTGGAACTCAAAATGGGGAGAAAACCCAAAAGGCCACATGCTTGCCCTTCGGTTGTAAAATTTGTACTCTTATTTACTGCAGACTGTAGTGTGTTGTGTGAGGGTTGCGTAGCAACAAAATAAAGTTTATCTGTGTAAGGAAATATGAATGTTTCACAGAGCACAGAGGAGCATAATTTCTGTGGTTTACTGCACTTATCATATCTGTTGCAATGTGGACTGTGTCAGATGTCAATTACAGGCTAACTTCAGAAAGACTGTTTATTTTAGATAATATAAATGTTACTTAAAAGATAGGGGTATAATATCTCATGTTTACATGTCTAAGATTTATTTCTAAAGTTTAGAAGATGCAGTTTCCTGTCTTTGCCCCAACCAGATTCAAGGAAAGTTCTGAAACTCTGTGGCCCAGGATAAATTCTGATGGTGAGGGAGTGAGGGAGCCAGTTTCGTTACTTGTGCATAATTAACTATTTCTGGTTCCTTTGGGATTGTGGGCTTATGTTGTTTTTTCCTGCTTGCTATCTGAAAATTGTCTGACTGCCTTCCAGTTCATCCCTAATAGGAGCAGACATGCATTAAAAACCAAAAATTAGGCCCAAATACTGAAAGGCTGTGAGACGGTGTTAACAGAAACTAAATTAATTTGCTTGGTAGAATTCTGCTTTTAAAATATTCCAGAGTGAAGAGAAATTCCCTTGATTTTGAGACAACAAAACACAAGTGTTTCTGGAAGTTATTAAAAAAAGGTAGGAATTATGTTTTGGTTTTGTTTTTTGGGGGGTTAAAAAGCAGAAAGATTGAGTGTCCATGACCATTTTAAAAGCCGAACAATGCCCAGGCTAAGAAAAAAAAATCTAACTTACTGTTGCTTCACCTGGAGAAGCTGAGGAGAAAACATAGCACATAACATGTGGTGGTAGATCTTTCTGCACTTTGCGAGGGTGTTTCTGAAGGGAATATAAGCAATATAACAGAAGAAAATATTAGGTCTTTGTGAGATACGCTAAGTAGAAAAATACAATATTTGCCTCTAAAGTAACAAGTGAACACAACAAACTCTTGGGAACAATTAGTCACAGTCCTCAGATCAAGGCATAGAAGTAGGGGGGGAACAGAAGGTGAGGTTTACATTTGATGCTTTAGTATATCTGCTTATCTGCATGTCAAATAATAAACCCAGTGACTTGATGGTTTTAATTATGAAATTGTTTTCTGACCTTACCTTGACTCCATATTCATCCATAGATACCAAGAAAAAATGTTTACATAGAAAAAAAAAAAAAAAAGCAAAAACAAACTAATAAGGGAGGAACAGTGAATGATATTTTTGTACCCAGAAAGAGAACATTCAACTAATGTTCTGGGTGCCTAGAAAAAACAACCCATTTGGGAGGCTGGTGACTGAACAGTAACTGAATGTGATTCCCTAACCACCTCTGAGGTAGGCCAGGAACATTCCCTGGAAAAGGAGATCACAGTTCTTAATGAGAGAATATTTATCAGATCTTTTGTGGAGAGAGAAGAGACTAAAAGCAAAACCTGATAGTATGAAAGAGGAGGAGGAGGATCCTGTACTTTCTAGGAGAAGGTGGTACCTCCCAAAAGGCCAAGAGGTGAGGCAAGCTTTTACATACTGATGTTTCATATTCAGCCAACATGGATTTCTCTGGTGCTATCAGTTTAGAAAATTGCCTTTTTGGAAGCGACCCCACAAAGTTGTCTTCATGGCCCCAGTGAGCCCATAGAGGATTAAACCTACTGAAGAGAGTATGGAAGAGCGTGGCACTCTACAGAGGACATGTAGAAACCACTCAGGAGATATGGAGAAGCTTCAGCCCTGATTTGGGATCTCAACAGCTGGACTAGAGACACCCATTTCTAGCAAGAAGTTCTAAAGAAGACAGTCTGTTTCAAAGTGACAAGGTGTGTGAAAGAGACTGTGGTGTTGTCTGGCCATCTGATAGAGCACATCAAGGCTGGACACGCAGGGAGCAGGGGCCTCCTAAGAATAAACAATACACTTCTACAAAAGACCACCTTGAGCTGCAACAGATGGGTGGTCTGTGCCAAGAGGACAGGTTTGGCTGCATTGGGAACTTCTATGCCATAAGCACTTGGCAGTTTAATACGGCAGAGGTGAGCACAGAGGTGCAGGGCTGCAGGCATGTCAGTCTGGTGAGCAGGAGATGGCAGAGGTCAGCCGAGGGCTGTAAAACCATCTGACCTTTCGGATAACATGTGGTCGAAGAAGTTAGTGTAGCTTTGGGACAGATTTTACACTCTGGCTTAGCCTGTTAATTCTTTGAAGCACAGACCTGCTGCTTTTTGAATTCTTGGAGCCTGCGCACAGGGTGGAGAATCCAGTAAGTAAATAATAGGAGTCAGAATTCGGTGCTCTGACGCTGAAGAGCTGTGAAAGACATGATTTGTTTTCTTGTGACCTCCACCTCTCGGACACGTTATTGTGTTTTATTTTTACTAGTGGCCAAGTCAAACAAATAGCTCTGGAACTAGTAAGAACTCCACCTCCGTCCCCAGTTTTTCAGGTTAAGCATGAAACTTGTCTGTCTTACTGGTAATTTCTGAACATAAATAAACACTTAGAGTAACTCGCTTTGATAAATGGGCAGTGTAGGTTGGGGCCTGTTGGATATGCAGGAGACTCAAAGACGAAGCCGAGCTGGGGAAGTAGGCAGGAATGGCTCTGCTTTTCTTGGCTTCTCAAATGGTTTTCAGGCTGAAATCAAATACTTGAGAGCACGAGGAAAGCTGGCTTCTGAAGTCATGAGTTTGCACTGAACCTCACTGTAAGGATATCTCTTATAAAGCTACTTTTGATGTGGAAATTTGGCTCCAAACCGCAGTGAAGGCCATCATAAATAACCACTTCATCACAGGACACACAGAAGTTGGCTTCCTTGAATACTCCTAGAAAGCAAGTCTAACCTTATTGAGCCCTAACCTCAGCTAGTGTAAATCAGAGAAGCTCCACTGACTTCATTAGTTTACACTGATTTACACCAGCTGTGACTGTGGCCCACAATACAGAAGATATGTCAGCTTTTAAATTCTGTCACTGAGTGTTGAACAAAACTGTTTTTAAAACAAGATTGGCAATCCCAGATTTAGATACTAATGAGACACAGCACTGTAATTGTTTCACCATGCCTATATGCTCCATTTTGTTTTCATTTTTGCTTTGCTTCTGTTTTTCTTATCTTCTGCCAAACAGAGGGAGAGTACCACATATGTTACACTCATAACAAAGATGTTTTGCTGCTTTGAGAACATGTCCTCCAGATGCAAAATGTCTTTGTGTTGTAGTTCAGCTTCTTCTTTGCATAGGTACACTGGCTATGCACCAATATAAGAATGCCCTTGAGGACCAGCCCCAAGTTTCTTCAGGGCCTGGAGCTCTTGAAGGGGCACCCAGAGGATATCCCAGCTGAACTTGCAAGATCTGATTCCCCCTTAGGGATTTCTAGCTCTTAAATCATCATTTCAGATGGGCAGGATAAATTGTGTCCGGGAGCACTCTGACAGGAATACGTCAAGACCATCGATACATCTCCTCTGTCACAGTCCTGCAGGGTGCTCATCAAGTTAACCATGCTGAGTAACCAGTTGCACTGGCGGCACCTTCATGGTATGGAAGGCTGGCAGATACATACAGATGATTTGTTCAGCTATGGGGAAGGCATTCATATAACTAGACTGGCAGTGATTAATATTGATTATTATTTTATGACAACAGCCGCTGTAAGTTCCGGTCAAGGTCAAGAGAGCATTGTGCACTGAAAAGATGC